AAGGATGCTGCAATATCAGCTGAGCTGGGCCACAGAGCATGGAAAAAGCAGGAGGGCACCCAGGTGACTGAGACACCAGCAGCACGCACAATAATGGCTCAAAACCTTGGCATGGCTCTTTGGAAATATTACTTGTGGGCAGGGGGGACAAGGAGGTGGAGGAAGTGTTGTCAGCATTCTTTTATTCATACTGTATGAAGAAAAATACCCTGAAACAATGCAGCTGGGATTAGCAGCAGTTGTGAGTCACTTGCCATAGAGGCAGAGGTCTGTGTGAATCCCCAAGCAGAGCAGGAATTTAATCCAGCTCCCCAGATGCTGCATAAAGGTGTAAAAAATGTGAGCTTTGGTATTGGTTCACCATCTGCTTCAAGGTGCATGTAACAACAGAGTAAATACCATTTGCATGTATTTGCAGATTTACTGGTCAGATAAGTGGTAAGGATGGTATGAAAAAGGCCTGCTTAGCAATAAGTAAGGTTAAAAAGAGGCATCTTCATCTTTGTTGCTACCACTACTTTATATGGACATAATGCTCACATTCATTAAACTGTAAGTGGTCATCACATAGGGTAAAAATAATTAGGGAGGAAATAATAGGAAGGATATTATTTAATAGTGCAAATGTTTTTATATCCTCACTTGTGCCTGGATATTGCCACTGCATGCACCTCAAAGGGAGTTTATTCAAAGAGAAAGAAAAAAAATTAGTGAGAGGGAAAACAGAAATTGCATTTAAAGGTTGAAAAGTCAGGTGGAAAAATCTTGTACCCCACAAAATCCTCTGGCTTGTTAGAAAATGTTTACCCCCCCTTAAGTCTAAAAGAAATGAAAATTTCCAGTTCCACAAAAAAGACTGGAAAAATATTTCTATTTGCCCACTCTCATTGCTTATGCCCCAGGGACAACCTCACCATTTAAAACTGATTTTCTAACCCTGCACTGGGGATCTCTCCCAAATACACATGTCTTACGATCAGATGTGAATCACAGCAGGACAAAAAAGCCACTTCACTTCTCCCACCATCGCTGTCCCATTCACTCTCCACTGAAGACAAAAGCCTGGGGGGGTAATTTCTGTTTTCTCTGAGATGCTGATCCTGGGGGGACAATGAAGCCAAATTTCCACAAACATCTCAAGGCTAAGACAGCTTTTAGAAAGGGGATCAGGCATCAACAGTACACCTAAATGAGGAACTTGACCTTCTGAAAGGCTGGGAGGCAGGTCACCAGCATCCCAGTGGGACGTGACATAGGTGAATCCTTGTGAAAGTGTGGCATCCTCAGCTCCTTCAGCTTACTCTAAAAGGCAGAGCTTCAAAATGGGTCATATTCAAGACTCCAAGTGGGAGATGGGGACAGTCATGTTTTAATATCTTTGATGCAGGAGCCTGAACATCACTTCCTTGTGATGATGAGGACTGGTACTTGGCTTTTTTCTTAACACACAGTCAAGAGAAATGGAGTCATATACTAGGAGAAAGAGGTTTACCTGCACTAATAACTGCAATAATTCCTGCTCATTTTGTCTTCTTTTGCAAAAATGCCCTGCATACAGAAAGGCTTCCTTACACAGTATGTCTATAATTTCAAAATGCACTCTCTGCATCTAGCCAGATCCTCAGAGAGGGCATTTTTGGTTTATCTTTTGTATCACACTGCGGGCTGTAACTGCTGCCTGGCTCCTTCTGCCCCTTGAAGAATAGCACTTCTTCCACCTAGAAGAATAGCAGTGAGGCCCATCCCAGCTATATCTCTTATGGCTGAAGTGCTCTAGAGCAGAGGAGATGCTTTAACTTTTGCCTCTTTTTGCAGCTTTCTTATGACTGTTCTCTTTATGCTTGGCTTAGCCTGTTTCCCAAATAGACAGACCACTTCCCTTCCTGTTTGGGGACAGTGCCACTTTCTCACTCTTGTCTGCCGGCATGCTGTAGGTGTACTGAGGTGTCCAGTTCTCCCCAGGAGAGACCTTTAACAATCATAAGATGTTCCTGTGGAAAATGTACCACTCTTTAAGCATATCAATATTCATACAAGGCAGGAAAACACTTATTAAAAGAGAAAAATTCACTATATTTTTGTTCATTCTTCTCGAGGGTGTCCCTTCAACAGCACTCAACAGCTGTTAAATGGGATAATTGCCTGCTAGCCTCATGTCACTAATTCAAATGCTAATGGCTCTCAGTGCATGAGAGGTTATTCAGCCATCCGGCACCCCAGGTACACTTTGCAGGAGGAGGATGATGAAGGGATTAAGGTCCCTTCTGGGATTCTGGAAACTTTGCAAAGAAATGCTTTCAGATTAATTTGGAGAGGATATGATGTTCAAGACAGTATATTTGGTTTGTATGGCAAGGTTTTTTGTAATGGAGTTCTCTAAGGGTGGCCTCTGTGAGAAACTGCCAGAAGTTTACCCTATGTCCAATGGAGCCATTTCCAGCCAGACCTAAATGGACCTGAAGCTGGATGAAGCTGAGCCCATCATTGATGGTGGTAGCACCTATGAGATAATGTGTCAAAGGAGAAAAAAATGCCACACAAGAGCAACTGCAGCTAGAGAGAGGAGTGAGAATATGTCAGGGAAACAGCTCTGCAGACACCCAGGTCAATGAAGGAGGGGGAGGAGGTGCTCCAAGTGCCAAAGCAGAGATTCCCCTGCAGCCCATGGTGCAGCCCATGGTGAGGGCAGGCTGTGCCTCTGGAGCCCATGGAGGTCCACAGTGGAGCAGATATTCACTGTGGAGGACACCATGCTGGAGCAGGTGGATGCCCAAAGGAGGCTGTGACCCCATGGGAAGCACATGCTGCAGCAGGCTCCTGTGGCCCTGTGGAGAGAAGAGCCCGCCCTGGAGCAGGTTTGCTGGCAGGACTTGTGACCTTGTGGAGACCCACACTGGAGCAGGCTGTTCCTGAAGGATTGCACCCCACAGAAGGGACCCACAGTGGGGAAGTTCAGAAAGAACTGCAGCCCATGGGAAGAACTCACCTTGCAGAAATTCATGGAGGACTGTCTTCCATGGGAAGGACCCCTGGCTAGAGCAGGAAAAGAATGTGAGGAGTCCCCTCTCTGAGGAGGAAGGAGCAGCGGAGACAACGTGTGATGAACTGACCACAGCCCCAGTTCCCTGCTTCCCCTGCACTGTAGCCCCACTTCCCTATCCCCCTGCCCTGTGGGGAGCAGGTAGAAAATTTGGGACTGAAGTTGAGTCCAGGAAGAATGGAAGAGTTGGGGGAATGTGTTTTCAAGATATAGTTTTATTTCTCATTATCATGCTCTGATTTAAGTGATAATAAATTAAACTAATTCCCTGAAGTCGAGTCTGTTTTGCCCATGACTGTAATTGTTGAGTGATCTCTACCTGACCTTAGCTCAATCAAGGAGCCTTTTCTCTCTCCTGTCCAGCTGAGGAGGAGAGTGATAGAGCAGGTTGGGTGGGGACCTCACATCCAGACAGGGTCAAAGACACAGAAACCAGACAAGGAGAGGCCAGCAGGAAGGATTTGTATATTTTGGTGCCTCAGAGGTATTCCAACCCAATGCTGAAAGATCCTGGGGCCAGCCCAGCCTTGGTGCCAGCTGACCGAGCAAGGGCTCAGTTTGATCTCAGAAAAGTACTGCTTGTATAGTGGTGGTGCTCAGCAAGCATAGGTCATCATTCTCTTGTCATGGCTAAACCACTGTCCCAGCAGTGCAATATTGGCTACCTGCACAGAAACAGAGCTACCTCTTCCTAAGGCTCAAGGTCACTTCCACAACTCCGCTCCTGGCCAGGTAATGCCAGGCTCAGTGACACTCCAGCCATGCAGTGCAAAGTGCCAAGCTGTCAGTGCCCCACGGGGCAAACCCTCTGGTGCTCCTTGCTTCTGTGACAGGAAAAAGGCTGCAAAAGGCAGCACCAAAACCTTCAAAATCAACACCACTTTCATGGAGCAAACTTTGCAACTTGACCCATGCTTTTGTGTGTGTCCACGTGCGTGTGTACAAAAGGCTGTTCAATGCATTAATTTATATTTCACATGTGCAATTCCCCAAAAATATCCTAGTTGCCACAAAAGTATGTATTTTCTTTTATATGGAAATAACCACAGATATTACACTTAATGTCACACTTAAACATTACTTGCCAGTGGTATCTACACAAAAGCAGAGCTGGATTTAAGTCTAAAACTACTTTGTTATGAAACTGCTAATAATATACAACCCATGGGAGATGTGCCATTGCTGTCTGTCCTTCTGCACAGCATTATGTTGATGACAAAGGAAGGGAACAATGGTGACTTTGGCTTCCACTGCAGGGACTGTTTGATATGCCTTACCCATCCTTTCTGTTCTTCAAGAAGGGTACCTAGTGTCTTCTGTCTCAAAAGTGGCAAGTAGGAAGAGAAAAGGAGAATTAACAGATCAATATAATAATCTCGGATGGGATATATAGAAGTGATGAGGGTAAATGACTGGAAAAAAATAATAGACCTTCGACAATTCTCAGCAATGCTCCCCTGAAACACTTTTGACCACATTCTCCAAAGGGATCAATAATCAATGAACATGACCTTCTATCTGTTGAAAAAACTATTTTGACATGAAACCAATGATGTGTTTCATAACTGGTTTTAAGTCCATGAAGGACACTATTATTTAAGGAATTTTACTGGCCAAAGCACTTTGTCAGCCGCACCATTCATCCTCGACTTCCTTTTTAATTTTGAAATTATCCTGTATTCAGTTCTACTGGCTTCATATCTCCAGTCCCCTCAGCAGAATTATTCCTAATTCTAGCTCCTCAGCATCTCCTCCTCTGAAGAGTTACTTATGCACCAGAAAAGTTGCGCTCTCATTTCTTGTTCCAAAAAAAATGTGTATGTATCTGTTACCATGGTAGTGGTGTGGGTTCCAACCAACCATTTTAGCCACACTAACTTTAAAATGGTAACCAAGTTTGAAACTCTTTGGTTTCCTCCCAGAAAACACAGAGTGCTGGAACACGTTTGCCCTTGTGGTCTTGCAGGTGACCACCAGGCAGCCATGACTGGTCCCCTCCACAGACTGCAGGGCTGACCCAGTTTCTCCTCGGAGCTGTCATGGCAACCTCCACGCTTGTGTTTGTTGCTTTGCATGGAGAAACCATTTTCTGGCTATGGCAAAGCAAGAACTCAATGCCAGTGGCATTGCAAAGTGGGAGTGCAGCTCAGCCCTTCAGCCCAGGTCCTGATCCTGAACAAAATCCATGTCATGTGGTAGCAAATAAGTTGGACACAGAAGGAAAAGCAACCTGTCTCTTACTCTTTTCCATTCTGGTGCTGCTCTGTTCCTCATCAGGCAGAACATTCAGGCTGGCTTGATAAAGAAATGAGGCACATGGAGCCATTTCACGTGGGCTCACCATGAGGTACAGCCTGCCCCTCCTAATTTCCAGTCCTCCCTGAACTCAAGGTCATTGCCCACACAGACCTAACTCAGCAGAGGTTTAATATCATCAGATCCACAAAATCCATGGAAAGTGTCCAGACAGGGGAGAGTGATCATGACTCCACACAGAGGAGGTCAACAATGGGAGCTCAGTTTGTACTGGAGAGTTTGCATGAGCGCAGCACAGGTTGAGGGGCACCTGCCTGGGCTGCTCCCAGGACCTCTGGTTGTGCATTTACCCATTCCCAGCCATTCATTACAAGAGGGAGCTGCCCACAGAAACAAAGAAATGTCAGCACTTCATACTAAAACCCTTGCCAATGAAAGTGGAGAGAAAAGTGTTCTGAGCCATGGGGCAGACACCCAAAAATCCCTCCTGTGTGGTGGAGAGAAGGGAAAAGGAGAAAAAATTTTTAAAAAGAAAAATAAGAAAGAGCTAAGAAAAAAAAAAAAGAGAGGAAAATGCCTAGGAGGTTTGATTTATAAAGGGAAATGAGCTGTAAGATAATGTGCTTGGACTGGCCAAGCTGAGGCGGGTGCGAGAAAAGTGGGTGACAGCCAGCAAGCACCAGAAAGAGCCCAGGCAGTGGAGAGGGAAAAGCACAGCCTGCTCAGAGGGAGTGAGCCGCACAGAAAGTGCATGCTAAGTAGGAGTGCCAGGATGACATTTGAAAGGGGGAAAATTTAGGCTGAGTGTCAGGAAAAGCTTCCTGACAGTGAGATGCATGCACTGGAGCCATCCCGCGGGAGAAGCCCTGGAAGCTTCATCATTTGGCTTGCAAGGGCTGAGCTGGAGGAAAGCTGCAAGTCCTGGAAAGGCCTTGCAGAAATCCAGAGCTTGCAGAAAGTCAAAAGCAAGGCTTGCTTTAATTACAGGAGGCCTGGCTCAGAGGTGAACTCCACAGGCAGCAAGATTGTCCAGGAAGAGGGGAACTCCCAGTAGGTGACTGGGAGGCAGCTGGTCCCAGGCACAAGCATCATTCTCTTCATGGAAGTTTAGAAACAAATGGGTGAGCAAGACAGTGAAACAGATAGGGAAATAAAAAAAAAATCCCTTCTCCTTTAAGGCAACATTATCTCTCAGCAAAGAGTTGCTCTGCTCTGGCCAAGGCACAGTCAGTCAGGGCTCAGGCTTCTGTTAGTCTGGGCCCCTGGGAAGGCCAGTTGCCAAAAGAAGAGGGAAATTTTGTTTTAGTCAGGGGGTAGGGCATGGGTGTATTGGGAGGGAAATGAGGGAGAGATTGAGGGAACTTGCACAGGAGAGCGAGGGAGAGAGGGGGATGTATGTATTCACTGTGTCACTGGATGTGTAGCAAGGCAAGAAGCCGAGCAGAATGGCTTGGGAGTGAGGGAAGGAGGTAATGGCTGCAGGCAGAAGCCAAGGCAGAAAAACTCCACAAATTATGCTGTTTCTCTCCTGTCAAGAAGCCTTGTCCGAAGAAATCCATGTTAAAAACAGCCAGGGCATGGACTCTGTCCCCAGAGCTCCCTGAGCCACCAGCCTTCCCTATCACAGGAGGAGAAGGAGTTGATTTCCCCTGAGAGGAGGCAAACAGAGTAACTTCTCCTGCAGGGGACTACCCTTTGCCCCATTCCTGGGCACACCGCTGGGCCAGCTGTGCCCAGCCTGGCCAGGAGCAGCCTCTCCATTGTGGCACATGAAGACCTGCAGCACACAGCTCCAGAGGTGTCAGCCAAGCTCACAAGGAGCCTGGTGTGAGCTGAACATCATCCCACCAATTCCAGTGGCCTTACTGGGAGCTGAGATCACAATGTCACTTCCACAGCATGAAACTGGATTTGAAACTTTGACCCCTTATGAGCTCCTTCTACCCCCAAGGAAAGTACCTCTGTGCCAAAGGTAGCCACATTCATGCAGGAGATAGTCAGGCATGGGCAGTTAAAGCAATAACTGAGCTGTGGCACAGCTGCCCTGGGAGTGCCATCCCTCTCCCATCCCAGCTTTTACTGCTGTGTTCCTTTATTCGGATACACCGCCCTCTCCATTTAAACAGCAAACCCAGCGGGGCAGGAAATGACAGCCCATGCTCTTGTCGAGCCAACAGAAATGGAGCTAAAGTGGAAAGCCTATTTTAAGAGTAAAGTACGATATAAAGAGGTTGCATTTATTTCCAGACCAGACATTACAAACCCAGGGAATTCAGAGTTAAAGTTATGCTTAAAATAAATTCAAACTTGTTGAAGTGTGGCAGTGTGCTACCAAGGAATACAAATAGCCTTAATTCTGCCCTGAAGTGACACACAGCCGTATGATTGTGATTAAAATGTTTTAGTACTTGTGCTCCTAAACTAGATTACCCTGATAAATACAGTTTTTTTCCATATTCCCTTGCTTTTCTCCTCCTCCAACAACCCTGTGCCCCAGATATAGCCACAAGCACAGATTTCACTGCCTACTAGGAAAAAAAAAAAAAAAAACCCACACATATATATATCACAGGTCCTTTACATCTGTAATGAGAGCCCCAGGCCAAGTGCTGTCTTGGAAATACCCTTCCTCCCACCATCAGTTAGATCCACAGCCACCTCTGCCAAAGGCTCTGGAGAGCACAACTGAAGTGTGCACCAAGTGATCATTCAGCCCTGCTGAGGAGAAGGGGAGGGCTTTCCTCACACCTTTGATACCACTGTAATCTACACTCATGTATTTATTTCACAAGCCCATTAAAACCTTGGGTTTAAAGTGTAGAGAAAATAAAAGAGAAAGAAACTTCATCTGGATAAACAGTTATGGCTTTTTGTCAAGGATTCAGGAGCTAATCGAGTCCAGATCTGTTCCACATTTACATTTACATGTGAAATTGTACTTACTGAGCTAGAAAAAGTCAGATTAGCATAAAGAGTCAGCTCTGCCACTCAGCTACATGGTGCAAACTCTGGAGTGAATGAGGGCTCCAGGGGTGTAACAGAAGGCAAAGTTTGGCCCCAAATACTTAAGGGCCGTTTGGTTGAGATGCACATGAAAGTGGGTGCTCTGCACTTCAGCCCAGTTTGAAATGATTCTCCAGAAGTTGTATTTATTTAAGAGAGTGGGTGGCCTGAATTGTCATGATGTGTTCAAATATTTGGCACTAAATCACAGCTGTCCACTTATTTGCACTTTTGCTGCCGGGCAGCAGGAACACCCCTGGAATTAGTCAGCATCAGATGCATTAATGAGCTAACAGATACATTATGGTTCACAGTTTGGACTGCTTTTGTCCGTATAAATACACACCTCCTCTCCGCTTGTTTCCCAGAAAGGCATATCTTCTTGAACATGTTGACTTTACAAACCTTATTTTATCTGGCCTTTATGAATGAGCTGGCAGAATTTTCTGTTAGACACAGAAAAGCACCTTGCACCTAGAAGTCTTTCTGAGCATTACATGCAATCTTGGAGACTCAGGAGTGTAAAGGGGAAACAGTCCAGCCTTGGAGAAGTTCCTCTTTGCAAGCCAAAAGCCATCCTCTGCATGCAAAGATCCCAAGTAAATATGGAACCAATAACAACCATGAGCAAAGACCTTTAGATAAGAAAAATGTTTCCAAAGCCTGTTACAAGTCTGGAGGAAAACACTTGCACCTTTGCTCTGCAGAAAGCAAGGAATTTGTTGCACCAAAGGAAAGAAAATCTTGTTATCTGGGTTAGCACTCCCATGATTGATTCATCCCACTTCTCCACTGCCAGAAACCTTTTATAAATCACAGATATAGCATAGGTCATGATTTAATAAGTTGCCAAGAAAATTTATCCTGTGCAAGAGGACTTCAGGACCGATGTCAACTCTTTGCAACTTGCATGCCTAATGGATGCTAGTTGCAAACCATAATCATTTTTATTAAACAAATCAACAGTTTTTGCCAGGGTAATGCTGTAGCATGGAAGCAGTGGGAGCCAGGTTTTTGTGTGTGTGAATAAAATAGTTTTTCAGAAAAAAATGCTTATTTGCTGACACTGAAGTTTCTTGTGGGAATACATCACTTTTATAATTAAATTTTCATCTGGAAGGTTTTTCGGGTCAAAAATGGAATTTCTGGTCAGAATCATAGCAGGGAGGAACACACAAGAAGCCAGGCTCTCAACTGAGCACAGCCAAGCGCACTTGGCTTAATTATAGAGCCAGCAGCTCATCTGCCATATGGCTGCTCCTTACCTTGTCTTGACCATTTTTGGCCGTACTTTTCCAGCAACATTTCCTGGTTCTCCTTCCAGCCCCTCCCAGGAGCAGGAGATGCAAAGCCATGGACAGAAATCATTTGTATTTTCCAGGAAGCATCCCCAAATGGGTGCTTGCCTCCAGCCAGAGGAGCACAAAGGAGCAACCCCACTGCCAGCAGTCACTCACACACGCAACAGGATCTGGGAGAGGATGTCTGGCCATATCTGCCTTCCCTTCCATGTGCAGGAACACACCATATCAACAGAAAACACCTCTGGTAAGGGCATAAATGCACCTCCCTCCCCGGGAGGCTGTGCAGCGTTATCTGCAGCAGTGGAAGGAAGCAGCAGAGCCCGGCTGCTTGCAAGCCTTCCTACCCTCACAGTCTGATTCACCAGAACAGCCCGGCTGCTTTTTGCCACCACAACGACCACACACCAGAGCTGCAAGCCTGGCTTCACTGGCCAGTTTGTGACACTCTTGTGCCCACAGAGTGGTAGTGAACAGCTGGAAAGGGCTGGTGAGCCCCTCTACAAGCTCCTCTGCATTGCATACCTCAGCCAGGCTGCTGCAGCAGAGGATGAAACAGAGTTGTCACCAGCCCCAGCACACAGCCTTGTCCTCTGTTCACCTTCAGGAGGGCAAGTCAGAAGTGGCTTAGCTCAACCACCACAGTCAAATGAGTCTGAAACACTGTTAGGAGGGATTAAAATCACATGTGAGTGTGTGTGTATGTGTGGTTTCACAACACCTCCCTCTCCCCACCGCCAGCCACACCAGTTTCCTCAAAGAAAGGCAGAACAGTAGAGCACAGACCCAAAGTCATGCCGTGATGCATTAAAGCCTTGTTTTCCCACTGCTTAAAGAACTGACCCAGCCCCCTCAAATGTTCCCAGCATACTTGAATTGTGAGTCAGAGACCACAATGGAGATACTTGCCTAGCTTGACAAAGTATCTCTCCTGCCAAACAGCAATCACTGATTTTTTTGGTCTGTCACTCATGAGTCTTGTTCCTGCTGCTCTAACCACACAAAACACACTGCCTCATTGTGGAAGCCAGCATTACTGTTTGGATGCTTACCTGTAGCATCTCCAACTTTTCATAATCCCCTTAATGAGGAGTGCTGCTAACAAACCAGATGGAAATTTGCAGGTATTGAAAGCTCATGTCTCTGTATCCACTGTAGAAGCCATAGAGGATGGAAAGAATAGCAATACTGAAAAGCAAGGCCAGGAAACACTTCATCTTTGCAGACATAGCCTAACATTTAAAAGGAATAATAATTCAGGAACAAGATTTCCACACACTGGTCTGGCACCTCACTTAGCAAAACACCCTAAGGCTTAGGAGTTAATCTGTGATGGACCCTTCCTTGGGCTTCATTTGCCATAGCTAAAACAATTGCCTGCCATGAGCTAGCATCCAGAGTAGCAAAATAAGTTTTTACTCCTTCAGTTGCAGTGGCAAAAGGCCTGCAGCACTGAGCAGGGCTCCATTTTCTTCCACTCCCCTGCTCCACCACATGTCATGCAAACAGCTCATACAGCCCTGCTCGGGGCAAAAATATTATTATTTTACTCACTGTAGATCACACTCATTTCCTATTTGTTAATTTTCCTACACAATCCTGAGTGCAGTGCTAGAAACATATTTTCTTAATTAGCTTCTGCCCCCCGCCCCTTTTTCTTCCTTCAAAAGGCACAATTCTCACACAATCTGAGCACTCTGGCAGAAAGGCAGGAGGGCTTCAAGGAAGTCCCCCAGTAACAGAGTGCAAGGCTCGATCTGCAGTGAGGAGAGCTGGCAGCCCTGCACTGCACCTCAGCACGCCAGCTGTTGCTCCAGTTGTGGAGCCACACTGGGAGGAGTTCAAGGACCAGCAGCTGAGAAAAAAAGTCAGATAGAACCAAACCCTCCAACATTACATGAGGTCGAGGCTGTGTGTGTGCATGTGTGTGCATTTGCTTTATTTTTCTTTTTTTTTTTTTTTTCCACCACAACTAGACTTAGTATTTCTTCAGAGGTTTCATGCTTGTACTTGTACCAAGAAATCATTCCCATTATCTCCTCTATCGCCTGGGCTGCAGTGCAGAGCAGCCTGCTGTTATCCATCCCTGCTGTCTGGGGTTTGGGACAGCTGGGCTGCAAGGCTGGAGAGATGGGGGAGTTTCCGGGCTCTGGGGTGCACGAGGAGGAGGGAGATCATTTTGTGTGCTGCTAATCTGTCTCTGCAGGAGCACTGGTTTTAGCCTCTGTAGCACCTGCCATGGGGCGCCTGGGGGTGGGACACAGAAGCAGGAAGAAAAATAACTTCAAGCAAGATTTACTCCCTTCCTTATTGGTTAATGCTTGCCAAAAAATGTTATGCAGAGGCAGGGGGTTGAATAGGTCTGAATGGACTTCACATAATTGATGTAAACATTACACTTTGACATCTCTCTCCTTTCAGGAAGGAGGAATCTTTGACTGAAGCTGTGTCCAAAGCCCTAGACAGAAATCCAGGACTTCTAGGATGTTCTTTTCCCAGTTCCACCTCAGGCTTGACATTTCAGGACCATGGTGTTTTGCTGACAAACCTGAGCCATGCTAAATGGAAGATAAAATACCAGTGAGGGTTTCAAACCTCCCATTCCCCACCCCCTTCCCCCTTCCCCAGCACAGCATGCATTGCTCTGAGCTGTGCACATGTACTGACCTCTCACAGCTTGGTCCTGGTGACAGGGTGATACACGGCCCAGACCTGCACTCCCTGAACTCCCCACAGGCTCTCATCTAGCACAGAGACAGGCACTGGAGGTGTGTAACAGGGAACAAGGAAGAAAAAGAAGCTGTTTCACTGTGCAAGTAATACAGATCTTAATATGAATCTCTTCTGAGCTGAAGGAAAAACCCTGTTGTATAGTCACAGTAGATCGGACCAGCTAGAGCAGGGGGATGCTGTGCATATTTAGAGCACACTGTTCTGGACAACAAGCTTTGGGAAGTGTTTCTGGAGGCTGGGCCAACCTCATGGTGCTGGCCCCAAAAATATTTAATGCATGCTCTAAATAAAAGGCACCTGGATTGCAATCTGAATGCAAGCAGCTTCTTTCAGCTCTCCATCCTCAGCTGTATTGCAAGCAGATCAGGCAATTAAAGAGGCTTAAGCTAGCCCTGGTAAAGTCTCAGCCCTCAACTTGCTCCTTAAGCCAAAAATAAAGAATACATCAGCAAAACCATTGCATGTTCACCTGGTAAGTTTCTAATGTTGTTTGGCAGAGCAGTGGCTGCCACCACCTCTCCCTGGTTTCGTGCCACCAGCAAGCCATCAGCTGGGCCATGAGAGTGTCAGCTGCTGCTTGCATTACAAAATCTGGAAGGGATGGACCTTGAAACCAGAGAAGCAGCAAACATGGACTGCAGCAGAGCAGGACAGGCTGCTATTCAGAAGTACATCCAGCACTGAGTAGATGACAGATTTTCTGGGAATTCAGAAAACCTACATAAGCCCAATGTGCAATGAACTACTGGCTCTGTTCTTTTGACAAGGGCATGCAGTGGTGGGACAAGAGGTAATGCCTTTAAACTGAAGGTAGATCTAGATTAGATACTTGGAAGAAATTCTTTACTGTGAGTATGGTGAGAGACTAAACAGGTTGTTCAGACAAGTTGTACATGCTTCACTCCTGGAAGTGTCCAAGGCCGGGCTGGACAAGGCTTTGAGTAACCTGGTCTAGTGAAAGATGTTCCTGCCCATGGCAGGGGGGCTTGGAACTCAATGATCTTTAAGGTCCCTTCCAACACAAGTCACTCTGTAATTCTATGACTGCACATGAGACTATAAGAGCACCATCTTCTCACATCTGACATTCAGACCTGAGGACTTCAGAGGCCTAAAACAGGGGGTGCACTTCTCCCTTGACCCTGCTAACTCACAGCAGTTGCAAGGGAGGCAGCAGCACATGTCCTCACTCCAACCCACTGCTGGAATCACCAGCAATCCGCCAGGCTGTTACACCCTTACAAAAGGGCTTGGCAGAGCAGCTTCCCCAGCCAAGGCAAGGTTTATATCAGGGGCTAAAGATCAAACTGTATTTATCTCTGAACACACCTTTGTTAGTTTTGGCTGCACCCTTTCAGGTATCACCTGCCTCCCCAGGCAAACACGTTCCTATCCGGGGCACCACAGACCTGCTGTGCTCCTCCGAGGGCTGCATCCGCCTGCCAGGAATCTGTGGACCTACTGCATCCACATCAGAGGCCAGCAGCCAGGGAGGGAGAGCCCCAGCACTAATGTGGCTGCAGCAAGGATGTTGCAGTGAGCAGAGGAAGGAGCTAGAAGCAGATTCATGGTCAGGCTGCTGCTTGGTTTTGTTGGAAACCAGAGTGGAAAACTGGCACCGGCATCCATCCACCCCAACAAACATTGCATTCATATGCAGAGCTACAGAGCAAATGATCTGTCAGTTGTTCATCTGGAGAACAGGTTTCACCAGCCTGGATTAAATGATTATGTTGCCACAGCATGTGCTTCTGGCTGCTCTTGGATATAAAGGAAGTAAGGCACAAGGAGCCTTACAGGAGAGAGGCCTGACCCTGCAACCCAGCTCCCAACACCTTTATGCTTGAAGAAGGTTCAGACCAGCACAGTGTGTGGGAGATAGGAGCAAGTGTGTTTAAAGAATGAATTTTGGTGCTGATGCGCTGAAATCACAAATGCAAGAAAACACCTCATTCGATTGAGAACAGAAGGTGCACACTTTACCCCCAATTACTGCCTCCAGATGTGCAGCAGACTGGCTGTATTTCTGAGCCTGCTGCTCCTTGTTCCCACAAAGCTGCAGGCAGAGTGAGTGCAGTTGGAGGTCTAACAGCACATGTGCAGCTCCAGCAGAGCCTGCGTCCTGCCTCCACAAAACCCCCGTTGAGTGACTCCCTTAGGATGTAATTGCAGTCGACTTCATTCCAGGCCATGAGCATATGTCTGGCTACGGACATTACTGCAAACACACAAGGAAGAAAAAAAGAAACATAAAGCAGAAAGTGAAAAAAAATCACTGGTAATCCAAGCCCAGTTAGGATAATGGGTGTTTTCCTCTGTAGAAAAAGGTTACTTCGTTACCTTTGGCAGTCTGGCCAGCTTCCCTGCATTAGTCTCTTGCAAGGCAGAAGAGAAAGGCTGGCACCAGCTTTGCAGACTCAAAACAAAAATATTGCACTAAACCCATGGGCCCCAGAAACAACCCCTGAATCCCTCTGGAGCTCACAAGGGTGAAAAGCAGAGGCCCAAAAAGCTAAAACAGTAATTTTAGGACTCTCACAGACTTCAAAGAGCCTTGAACCCTTGTACCAGGGAGCCCAAGGCATCTTTTTCTACTCTGTGGCCTTTGATAGGTTCACACCCACCAAAGTTCATCCCATGTCCCTGTCTCTCAGGGGATGATGTGTCTGTGGTGGGCGCAGTGGAAGGTGCAGGAGTGCAGTCACAGCACAGTGTGGGCAGCAGGAGCTGGAGCCATCATCCTCTGCCCCCTCCATGCTTCACAAGATGAGCAGGAGCAGCAGCACTGTTGCTTTCATATTTGCCTTTTTTTACCCTCATGAAGTGGAAACCTGTGCTCTGAGCATTGGGAGCTGTTACAAACACTGCTCTGGGGATAATCCCTACAAAATAGCCTGCAGCAAGCACCCAGCACCCAACACTCCCAGCTCGAGCACCTGCAGGCTGGTGAGCCATCCAAAATAAGGTCTTATCAATGGGAAGTGCCAGCCAGGCCTAAGCAACACTGAGCTGTCCTCCCCACTTCGAGTGGCCATGAAAACACTTAGGATTTGTCCAGCTGGGATGGCTCCCAGTCAGGCATTTACGTTTATGGCTCATGGACAGGATTTTAAAAATACATCACAGTGCATGCACGGATGTACTCCAAGATACACTTATATCCACAAGCACATGACCTAGGAGGTGGGTTAGAGCTGAAGTGACTCAGCCTCCCAGTTACAGAAACAAAATTAGCAACCACTCATAGACGTCTTATGTCTTAAATGGGGCTAGATGGCACTGTAAGTTAGTTAATGTCCCTTTGCCTCAGGAGATTCCACTTTGGCATTAAGATCAGTGGAAAACCAGGAAAACTGGTGCTCCCTAGGGTATATTTTCCAGAGCTGAGCTAGTAATTCACACCAACAGCCTGATTCAACACATTTTCAAGGTACCTAGTTAGGAGCTGTGTCCAATAATTTAGTCATTCTCTGGAATTAACTTTTTTTTTTTTTTGAGAAAATAATTCTTGGCTTGACACCATTTAAACATATGTTTTCTCCAAATACTTGGCCTACATTTTTCCTTCTTTAATTTATCCCATTTCTCCTCATTAACCCCTGTCCCCCCCACCCCCGTTGTTCCCATGCTGGATCCCTCTACCTCTCCCGGGAGAACAGTGATGAAATGACATTCGCCTCCCAGATCTCCTGGCACATCACCGTTTTTCTTCAGAATCAGCCCAGCGGGGCAAAGAGCCCTTTGGCCCGGAGCCCCTGAATCACTTAAGGATGCACAGCTGAAACGGAGCAAAGCAAAGAGGTGGAGGGAGGCGAGGACCGGGCTTGGAGGGACAGTGCCTGGCTGTATTGAGGTCAGAGCATTCCGGTCCCACGGCCTCGGGTGTCTGCCTGAGCTGGTTGGGAGACAAACGAGTAAGGATCTGCCCTAATCTCACACCCAGACCTTCCAGAGCCTCTGCGCTCCGGCGAGCACGCTGCAGCCTATGGCACCGTGCCACCGCGAGGGAACGGCATCCACGTCGCTGGGGAGGAAGGGGGACGTGCGGTCCTGGTGCAGCACATCTGCTCCCGGGGCAGGGAAGAGGGTGGCCACCTCTTTAACAGAGACCCTATCCGTGCATCTAGCACTCCGATGGGTATCTCTCTCCCATCAGTTAACAGAGGGAGCAACCCTCTAGGGGAAAGTAAAAAAAAAAAAAGCACACCAAACCCCCAAAATCCCCGCAACACTCCTCCCAGTATAGGAACCCATCAGCTCCCTGACCGCCTAGGTCATTCATGCCTGTGAATCGTTTCCTCAAGTAACAGATTAGTCACGTACATTTGCAATGGCAGCGATTCTGCCAAATAGCTGAGGAGCAGGGCAGGGGAACAGCAGCATGACAAAAACAGGCAGAGGAGGGGAGAGGAGAAATAAAACGTTTCCTCCTTTTCTCCCATGCCCCTTTGGTTTTCAGCAGCATTTGCATGCACAAGCTGCTAAACAGCTGCATCACGTGGCGGTGAAATCCGGGCGTTATCTGGCCAGAGATTTGGACAACCCTTTCCTTTTTCACCCCCGGGCTGGCAGAAGCATTGCCCAGCAGCCAGAGCACTGACAGCTTCTATAAGGTTGGGACCAAAAGCCTCCCATAGCAGGAACAATATTTGGCAGCTGGGAAAACCTCTCAGCTGAGCTTCCATCTTCGGAGTGACTGACAAATGCCAGACCCCGGCAGGGCTGACACAGGCTCGGGGCTGCAAAGTGTCCCGCTCAGAGGCGAGTCACTCGGAGAGGAAAACAAACAGGAAAAGGTCCCCAAAAGCTCCTGATTAGTATGTGGCTTACTGCAAACAGTTACTTTCTTCTTCCAATAACAGGCATGAAAAATCACCGCTGTCACTTGAGCAGCAGCGCGTGGAGCTGAGAGCAGGTCAGACTGCTCCTCTGTGCTGTGCATGCTCTGTCAAACTGCCCCTGTCCCGACAACTTTCCAGCCACGAATGGCCTGGTAGGTAACAAAGAGGGAGACTCAAAGCAAGAACACCTGAGTGATCCAGTAACAGGAGGAGAAAAAATGCAGGCTGTTTTGGGTCATATGATTTGTTACATTCCCAGACACTCTGTCCCTGGTAGTTCAGGGAAATGCTAGATGGGCAGCATGGCCTGGAGAAACTGTAAGGAGGGGAAAAGCAGACAGAGTGCCTGGGAGAAAGCTGATGAGCTGGTTTTCAAGACAAGCGTTAGTACTGCAATAAGAGATAGGGACACATGTAGGCGTTCCCTGTCCTGGTAATAAATAACAGCTACAAAACTCTTATTAACCTCTGTAAAATATGTTGGTTCTGCCAGTCCATCCATCACGAAACTATCTGTTACTGTGGTACTCACTTCAGCTGTCCTAGAGAAAGACAGAAAACACATCAGGCCAGCCACAGCACCCCACATTCCAGCCAAAGGGGGTCACAGTTGCAAAGGGTGCAATGCAACAGGATCCTTGTCATAAAAATGATGCTCCCCTCTTGTATCCTCTGCCTTAGGGGGCAGCACTGGAAAAGGAGATTAAAATACAAGCATCACTTTTGAGAAAGGAACTACACCATAACACAAAAGGAAACAAAAAAAAAGACTACCTCAGGAATATTCTACCTTTCCTTCCTAGGAAAAAGTAGCCCTGGGGGTTGGCCTAAGCATCTGGCCCAGTGAATTCACTTGCAGTCCAAAGAAAGCCTGGCCCCATTCATCAGCTGGGATGGGAAGTGCCAAGTCTCTTCTCCTCTCATCATCCCACTTCCTGGAGGGGAATTCAAGGAACAAGTGGCCTGATATTGCTGAGAGGAGTTCTGTCCCATGTGCTGCCAGGCTTCCCACGCTGTCCCATTTCAGAAGTAGCATGGGGAGGAGGGGGAAATGCATAAATTGGAGTTCTGGTACTTGGCACTACACCAGGACATAGATTAGACCACTCAATCATTTTAATTGCTATCCAACAGTAATAATTTATTTAGATTATTTACTTGAAAATATGCATTGCACTTCGGTATGTTTAAAATGCTAATTGGGAAGGTCCTGAACCAAACAGCCACCCTGGATAGCAAAGCTGTGTATTTGGAGAGATTTATTTGGTTAGCTGTTTTCAGAACCTCACTAGAATACTGCTTTTCTTAGCTTTTTTTGGTTCAACATATATAGTTTTGTCTATTTACTTGTCAATCTCACGTGTTTGGCAGACATAAAAAAAGGCAGAGCAGTAACCAAAATTACACGCACTTCCCATGCAATACAGGGTTATTCTTCCTTGTCTTGTTTCTGCTCTGCATATTTAATTTCGTACTCCTGTGAGGACTTGGGTGCTCAGGAAGAATGCCGTTTTCAGAATTACCAGACGTAAGTAGCTGCAGCTACATAAATGAGGAGTATGTCAAGACCTGAGGAGAGCCAATGGTTTTACCAGGTCAACAATTAACCCACATGGTCAGGAGTGCAGGTGTGAAGGAGATAATCCACCTCCAAGACACATCACAGCATGCCTCCATGGGAGTTTTGTGCTTCACAGAGGCATTTTGCTCTTCCTTAAGAAAGATGGTACATCAGAAAAAGTTCCTCCCACTTTACCTGCACCTGTGTTATTGCAGGTAGGCACTGGAAAGGGTGTGTTGGGTATGCAGAAGTTGTTACCTACCATAAACTGAGCAAAACCACAGAGAAAAAAATGGTGCAGCCTCTGCTCTGGCTGTGTTTATCCTACATGTCAATGAACAATAAAAACAGGGCACTGAAAAATAAACCTCACTGCTTCAAAAAGCCCCCAGGAGAGTTTCTTCATTGGTATCATATTTTTTGTTTCTTTCTGAATTTTTTTTTTTTTTTTGTAGTGTTGAAGTTGACATCTTTTTCCTCTTGCTGAACCAGCATTTCCTGACAGCAAACCATAGTCAGAAATTTTCCATCCAGCCCTGGAGTGTGTTTCAACATTTGGTGCTTGTGCATGCTTATGAAAAGAGGTTAATGTCAGTCTCAGAAAATTATCTACATGATGTTCAAAAGGGTACCAACAGTGAGCAACAGCACCTGCATTTGGGGAAGTCCAGACAATCTCTTGCTTCTTTGTCTCAGAGTTGGGGTCAGCTCTTCTCTGCTCTCTTACATCTGTAATGGTGATCCTCCTTTGCATTTTTACTGCCCAATTGACCTGTCACTTGGAAAAAGTCTTTCCATGGGGAACACTCTTTCTTGACACAGCACATCCCCTTCCAAACACCCTGGGGACATTCTGATGGTTTTAAAACCAAACATCTTGGAAAAGAGCAATGATCTCCCAATAAACAGCAATACAGTCAGGCCTCAGAAGGCAAACAAGCAAGGCAGGACCTTGTGGGAGGAGATGGCAATAAATAAAATAGTCAGCTTCTTAATCACCATCCCCAGTGCCTGGTAACTATTACCTTGTTTCAGCTACCCTGTGCATAACAGTGACAGGACAGCCCTCCACATTTGGAGGACTTTACCCAGCAAAATCATCTCAGGGATGAACAAGCACTGAAGTGTAAACACACCCAAGAACTTTTAAAGGTTGGAAAAGGAAAATCTCTTATGCTGTGAGAGTCATCAGGCATGAGGCAGCCTGGGAACATCAGCCTCCAGTCTGCAGCAGTTGCACTCAGCAACCCCACAGCCAAGGCTTTTTTTGGGAGCAGGGCTGGACACAGTGAAAGCCAGCCTGTCCTTACTCAGAACTCCTGCCTGCAGGGCACTCAAGCCAAAGCTGTCTCAATATGCTTTTAAAAGAAGGCAAATGACAAGCAAGGCATCATTTCCTTCAAAGCCTGTCACTTCTCATCCTCTGAGACATTTAGAGCTGCTATCGTAGTCAGCTTAAGGGGCAATAACTTCACCAGGAGGCGAAGCTGGTTTAGGAGGGGGAGGAGGAAGAGTTAAACCAAACTCATCAACCCACCCAGTGTCATCAGCCAGCAGCTCTGAGCGCACTCTCACCACGGGGAAGAGAGACAGGACATCCCAGCAGCAGTCCAAGAGAGGATGTGTCCTAAAGGACACAGCTGATTCATCATCCCGCTCAGCAATCTCGGGCAGCTTCAGCTGCAGAGGCCTGACCTGCTTGGCAGCCAGCCGGCAGCATCAGCTGCCTCTTGGAAAAGGGAAAGAAAAAATAAAAAGCTTTGAAACGGCAGAGTGGGCAGAGGAATGAGGAGGAGGGGAAAGGAGGGAGTGTGGGGGGGAGAGGTGGCCTTGCAGGCTCTGGTTGAGTAAGAGGCTAATTCCCCCCCACTCCCTGACCGCGACTCCATCTAATTACCCTGTTTCCTCTGAGCTGATTGGAAAGTGGCCTTGTGTCTGGAAAAGGCAGTAAGCATCTTACATGCATCTGTTCCACCTAATCCCTAATAACTAGTGCCTGTGTGTTCCGGGAGAGGAGGAGGAGGAGGTGGGGGAGGACGGGCAGGGAAGGGCCGGGAAGGGTTTCCCATGTAGGCTGCTGTGTGGCAGCGGGCAGGGCGGCACTGTGGCCTGGGCTGGGGGCTGTCAGGGAACTCACATTGTTCCTCTTCCGCCTGTTTCACAGTCTGGAGGCCCTTTCCTCCTTCCCCTTGCAATAATAACAAACTTTATTTAAAAAAAAAAAAAAAAAAGAGAGAGGCCTGTGGCTGGGAATAAGGACACATTTTGCTGAGCCTCGCTGCAGTTGGGATCTGTTTAAGCCACTCATTTTCCCCTTGCCCTAATCCTGCATTATCCTTTAGGCATGATGTTCAATTCCTGAAGGGGGGTGGGAAGTGCTCTCCAGAGCCCTGCCTGGTTTGCCCAGGAATTTGGATTGCACTTTTTATGTGCAGCTCCGGGAAGGGGCAGAGGGACAATTACGCAGCTGTTTAGTAGCCAGGCAGGCACATTTTCAGCAAGCTCTTCCTAGTGGGAGCTAATTCAACTCGAGAAGAGCACAGGGATAAACATCTCCATTTGCCAGTAAAAGGATTGTCACATCTGGAATTTACACAAGTTACGAGGAGCCAGGAGCCACTATTTTGTTCCACTTGCGTGGCGTCATAAAACATGTTAGCACTTTAAAAGTGTTGCGGGGCAGATGGATGCAGGACAATGACAACAGCTCCCACAACCCTGCCATGCCCCTGCCCTCCCCTGCCACCATCGGGGGACACCACACTCAGCCCTGCATCTTGCACAACACCCTCAACTTTGCTCCAGCCCCTGGGAAGGGAGGCTTTTGGCTTCCAAGGCTGCCAGCTGGCTTCTCTTCTCCACATTATAGTCCCAGGAGGCTGGGAGAGGGACCTGCTGTGCCCCCTGCACACCTCACAGGGAGTGCCAGCCTTCCCCTCAGGCTTAACCCACATGGAGGAGAACTCAGCAAACGATTGCTTTAAACCAGTTTCAAAAAGGTTGGCTGTGCTCTGTGGGCTGTTTATTTTCAAGAGCTTTCCACATTTATCCAGCCAGTTTTCCACTGTTTTGCTTTTGGATTTTTGCAGTTGCAAGGTTTGAGTGCTCCTCCTTGCAAGAGCATCCTTGCTCATCCCTCAGTACACTAATGGTGCCAGAGATGGTAACAGACCCTGTGGGCTGAATTCCCATAGGAAGCCTCAGTCCTCACCCCAACACAAACACTGGGAAGCATCCTGAAAAAAACAGTGAGATGCACACATCCACAGGCTGGGCCCATCCCATCCAGTAACAGTGGACATAAAAATTAAGGGGAAGAAGATGAAGTTAATGGCCTTTTGACCTTTGGCACTTCTCATCTGCACACAGGCCTTAAGGATGAGCAAGGCAAAACCCAACAGTCCATATTTCCCAGTTTGGTTTGTTTCTCTCACTTTGTGTTATGGAGCAGTGGTTACCCAAGAAATCTGCTGCCTGCTGATTTTCATTTAGGGACCGAGCCACACTGGTGGGAAAACCAGAACAAGCACAAAAGTAATCTCTTGGCCCACCATGCTGCTTGTGAAACACCATGTAGAGGTAAAGGCCTTCAGGTTACCATGTGGAAACCCAGCTGTGATTTACACCTCCTCCTCATCCTCCCTGAAAGGGACAAAGGGCTGCCTTGAGGAGGCTCATTTCACCCTGCAGAGGACTGGCAGCATAACTGCTCACTTTGCTGCTTGCTGGCAGGGCACAATCCCAGCTTTTATGAGTCATCCACCTAGTCCATGCAGTATGGGATCCACAGCCTGGAGTTCCAGCAGTGCTCACGCGAGCCTGTTGGGGAGAAAACTTCATGCCAGGGATGGCTGCCCTGCAGTGGAATATAGAGCAGTAGCTGTGCAAGGGTGATGGGAGATGGGGAGAATCGGCTGCCTTCTGCTTGAGCTCTCGTGACTGAGCAGAAAAGTGAAGTGAAAGAGCACAGTGGGAAGTTGCAAGGTCACGCTTTGGTTCTAGTGTTGTCCAGATCCTTCTGCAGAGCCTTCCTACCCTCCACATGCATAATTTGTCCCATGTCACTCTAACTAAACTTAAAGCCCCTTGAGGTAAGTTGGTGCAACTTTCCCATGAGAGCAGGCTCCTGACACTGTAAGATTAGCAGCTGAAAGAAAAAAAAAAAAAAAAAACAACTACTTTAAAGTGTCTTCAAAACCTCCATCTTTAGGTAACAGATAAGTGGCATAAACACTCAAAGTAATGTGCCCACAACCACAGGCAGTTTTCTGTTAATTCATGCTAAAGTACTCCGAAAAGGGAGGTCACCTTCCTCCCAAGCTGCAAAGATGACTTCAGGGAGGAGCTGTGACTACAGGTGTCCCTGTGGTTTGAGTGCTCCTCCTTGTAAGAGCATCCTTGCTCATCCCAGACTTGCCTGAGTGTGTGAGAGTTGGCATGAAATATAAACAGTAGCAAGCAGATGGTTTTAGGAGGAGAAAATATCAAATTTATGGCCAGAGATTGTGCTCACAGTTACAACTGCAGCCTCACCACCTCCTCCTCAATATTGCTACCAGCCATGCCACAATGGCTCCAGCCCTCTGTACAACACCTTTTCCACAGCCTGGTCATTGCACCCTCAGAAAAAAAAAAAATCCAAACAGGCCAACCTATTCCTCAGAAGACACACCAGCATGAACTCTGCTCCCCAGCTACACCTCCAAATGGCAGGAGCTGCAGAGGGGGAAGAAGGAAGAAAATGTAGCTCAAACAGAACTCCTCTATTAAAGAGTCAGCACAGGAGGAGATTTACGTGCACCAAAGTGCCAAAGATTGCCAAAACTTACCTAGAATTTACTTGAAGAGCTGGGAGGAGAGCAGGGAGGTATGGCCACCTAGGCTTCCCTCAGTGCCTGTAGCAAGTGCTCGCAGTTCAGGAGCTGTGTCTCATGGTCCTATGCTGTACATAGAAAGTGTCAATCAGTCCCTCAATATCTTACATTCTTTGAGATCCCTTTCAAAGTCTATTTAAGGGTACATAGGCACAGTTTGCATGACAAATTCCACACGCTGATACACAGACTTGGTGGTTTTCAAAAGTGCTAAAGAAATAAATTCACTGTATCCTGCTTCATGCTCTGCATATGGCACCATGCTCCCAGCCTAGAAGGAATTAAAACAATCGCTATATTGTATGATACGAGTTACAATGAAGTATCTATTTTCTACTGTGCTTTCATCAAGGTCCCGTCTTTCCAGGATGAAACCTTTATATTTGGGAATACTGAGCAGATTTATTCTGACACCCGTTCCCTGGGGAAAGTCTGCAGCTTCTCAAAGATGGGCAATGGATGCAGCATCTTCATGGTCAAAATCCACTGAAGCCCACTCATTATCACCAATCTCAGCTGAGCTAATTAATCCTCAGTAGCAAGGCCTTATTTTAATTTTCTGAACTCTGTTAAAGCAGGACCAAGTGCACTTAACTCCTCTAAATCTAGGAGATTGATTTTCAGCTCACTTCATGGTCTGTTTTTTTCTTTCACTCTTGCACTAAATCACATACCACAGACCACACCATGGGAAAACCCATTTCTTCAGGCCCCTGTCCTAGCCCAGGAAAAAGCTGCTTCTACATGGAAGGTGTCCCTTCCCACCCAAAATGTCTCTGAGATAAAGACTACTTGAGTGGGGATAAGCAGAGTCAAAGCTGCATGAAGCTGGGCTGACCCCGAGCATGGCCAGGGCACTCGGCTCCCCTGGGAAGAGCCAGGAGATGCCTGGCTGGGAGCCAATGCCTGCCCAGAGATGGTCTCCTTTGGGGCTGTTGATACCCAGCAACAAGTATAAAATAATGTCACATGAATGGGTTGGGGGCAGAGTGGCTGCTCCTGAAAATCTGAGCCAAAAGTGCTCACCCAGGGCTAAGTAGTGAGTGAACCGGCAGATGCACAAGCCTTCATTCTCCTTCTTGCTGGATCTCTTCTTTAGCTACAGGCTCCATGGTAAAAACCTGCTGCAACTTTATGTTACAATTATGTCACCATTAGATTTCAGAAAGCACCTGCAGAATCCAGTTAACTTACCACACCAGAAAAACAAGAAAAAACAAGGTACTTCAGATGAAAAGATAAAATTATGACATTGTTTTCAAGGGTGAAGCTTTACAGTTTATAATTCAATATAACCCTCTATTTGCACTCTTGACCAAACTTTAATGGAAATCCTTGGGAACTTTACTTAATACACTTTAATGATAAAATGTAAATAAGGTATTTTTAAAGCAGGTAACAAACTTCTTTTGAAAACAATAAAACATTTTGCCCACACCACCAATGTGGTGATCCAACTGAGAGGCCAAGTGGACAGAAACTGGACACTTTTTCCTTTCTATATGAACTGGTGTAAGTCAACAATTCAGCTGGTCATTAAGCATAAGAGAAACACAGGGGTATGCTGTGGCTATAGCATATTCAGCTATGGGTTTATATTCAAATATTTTTACAGTATCTTTTACATTGGTGCTTGGGGACTCCCAGGTAGTCAGAGATGCAATTAGATAAAAGAAGCTATTTGACTTTTCATCCTTTTTCCTTCCTGCCTTGCTTTTGTGGGTTTAAAGCACAATCTTTACACTAATTAAACACATTTGAATATTCTGTTGCATGTGCAATGAATGTATAATTAGACTCAAGAGAAAGATTAGGTGTTTTCGAGCTGACACTAACACTTCAGCATAAAGGTACCCCAGGCCCCACTAAATGTAACCTATGAGCTCCTGCTAATAGCACGCTGCCTCTGATCTCCAGAGGATTATTTTACTCTGGGGCTCTTATAGGAGCCGTATACTGAAAGGGGCCTGAAACAGATACCCTGTAATTTACATCCCTGCTTAGTGCCTCGGTGAGGAAAGGCGGCCTTTGCTCCAAATTGTAAGTGTTTCTTTCCTTCTCTGCTTTTCAGGTCTGAAGTTAAGGCACATGATCTTCAGGGTGCAGAATGATGTAAGGAACTTCTGGGTGGTTTCAGGGAAGAAAGTGTATTTTTTTTTGCCTTTTTTTTTTTTTTAATTCATATTCAGTACCACTTTTTTCCCTATAAACACAGGGAAACCTCTTAAATAAATTATACTAGGCAAAGCCCTGCCTCTCTGCTCCAAAATTGAAGATAACTGCTGCTTTATCCTCACCAAGCACTACCTCCTTTTGCTATTATTTACTATACCTCATAAATATCAGTCCTTTTCCTTTTCTCTACTTGGCACTTTTCCCATCAATTTTACGCTGCTGTGTTTTGTTTTTGTTGTTGTTTTTTAACAGAGGTTACCCTCCCAGCCACCACATGATAGTGATTTTTTTCTTCCCCATTTTGTGGTTGGACCAGCTCAGACAACTAGATAAATATTGTGGGGAGCTGACCCTTAAAGATTGGGTTTGCCTGTATTTTTTCACAGAAGTCTTTATTTCCTTAAGTTGTAGGTGGTCTCTTTAAGACAGCAGGGAGACAAACCTGGTGTAGTGAAAGGAGGGGGAAAAGAAGAAGCGGAAAAATCCCCTTAGGATGTTTCCTGTGGTAAAACAGAGTAAGGAATATTTTCAGAAACAGTAAGAAATATTTTAGGGCAACTCCAGAAAAATTAAAATTCAAATCTTCTGTGGGGTTCAGTGAATTCTTCAAATTGTGGCTTTCCTCGAAAACCCAAAGCCAGGCAACTTGAGCCTGATTTTAGAGTGAGTAATGGGGACCCTGGCATTTCTGTACCCCTTGGCAGTTGTGAAGAGGGTTGTGTGGGTTTTTTAAGATGCCATTTTTTTCAGTGTAAAGTTTGCTTAAAAAAACAGTGAGCTAGCTACTGAAAATCAGCCCTTATCAACTATTGTCAGTCACAGATCCAGATGAGGGGCAAAGCTCCTTTACTAGCAGTATGGCTTTAGCGTAAACAATCTGCAAATTTCCTCTTACCTGAAAAAGAAAATGATACCTGAGCAGGCCAGGAGATAACAACAGACAGGCAGCCTCGATGTCAGCAATACCTGTGACATTGCTGGCATTACCCTCGGGTTAGCATGGCAAATCACACCGTGCCATTGCAGTTCAGTCCCTTTTCAGTAGGGTCAACCTCCTTAAAAAACTCCCTCCTCCAACAGGAGGCTGGCTTACATTTATTGTTGTTGTTTACACTGTCAATAGGACTGCTACTGAGGAGAACTGTACTGGAGAAGATGTAGGAGCTGTGTCAGTGTACTTCATCCCTGGATTTCATCACACATAACTTCACTGCAACTGCTTTGCTTTACCCCTTGCTCAACAACAAAGAGGCACCCTGACTTCAGAGCTTTGTATCTGTGCCCAGACTTCAAGGCTGACATACCTCAACATTGAGAATGAAGTGTAAAATATCCTTTACTGCTCCAAAAACATGCAGTTTGGAAAGTTCAGGGATGAAGCAGGTGCTCAGTTAGGGAGCATTGTGTGCTGGTCCCAGCTTATGGTGGCCAATGCCAAACAAAGCTGCTCCTCTCCCTGGGCCGTAGGTAGTCAGGTTGGCCCCACTGACACTCTTCTGCAGCCCATCCCTAGCCATGGTAGAGCTGCTCTGTGCTACTCACCGTGCTCTGCTTGTGGGCCTTTCAGGGTCACACGTACTTGACATAGGGCATCTCCTGGGACCCCTCTTCACTATTCCAAAAGCCTTTTCTATTGGGAAGGAAACCCCAAACTGCGTCTGCCTATTCACATGGAAACATACCAAGTATCTCAATTGGAGCTGCCGAGGCAGATTGCTACATTTAATTACCAGTTCCAAGGGCTGAGACAGTGAATGACAGGTCAATTCATGCAGTGAGCTAGCAAAGATTGCTGATAAATGCTTTCTAATTGAAAGGATGATAAAACAACTATTAGTCACTGAGGAGCTTGAAGAATGAGTTAGTCCTGGGGTTTTTTACACATGAAGAGCAAGAAGTGCTAATCTCATCAGCACTCTGTTGTCATTTCCTACCAGCCTAGTCACAGAAAAGGCCCAGGAGGGATCATGAGTGACATTGCAGAGGGGTGACCAGTCACTGCTCCCTCAGTCCTATTAAGGAGATTGAATAGAAATAATTATTAGCAACGTGGATAAAGTCTATTGGACTCTGGAGAACATCAGACATTTCTGTGAATTAGGGAAAAATCAAAGAACAAAAATAACCTCTTGCACACAGCTCCATTGGGAAATCAGTTGTGTTAGCAACACAATGTATCCTTTGCAGAGCACTTTTCAGCCCAAAGTGTAAGATGAAGGCTGTGACACCAGAGGTCCAGGTACTCAAGGCCCCACTCCAGCAGTAGTGATGATCTGCTGAATACAAGCAGTTTGAAACTTGGAGACTGAACTTTGCCCTAGGAAAACCTCTGCATGGGCACATGTACCTGTTTGTCACTCAGGCATTAGGACAGTCACTCTGGGAGCAGGGCACAGCAGTCATACAGGACGGGAAATGCTCTTAGGTTGTCACATCAGAAAAAGTCAGTAGAGCTGCACTGCAAAAGCCCTGTGCCGAGACATGACCCAAAAGTTACCTGCATTAAGTGACACAACACTGGGTGCTGGGAAATCAAGAAAACAGCCACCACCCATTAGCAGGAACCTCTGCTGCCTTGTTTCCACACTATGCAATGATGGATTTTTTTTTTTTCAGCTGCTTCTCTTTCCTTTCCTTCTCTTTGGCCAATCTTCCTAGACCAGGAGAAGTCCTGAGTGAGACTGCCACTGTACTTGCACTCTACCTAACATGAAGGGCTACAGCCCTGGCTTAAACATCTGGCTACTGCTGTCACATGGATAATCATCCAGGACACTTGCACACACCACAGTGCTGAAATGGTAGCCATTCCAGAGGTGAGCTTGGGACGTGGCCAAGTGACACAGGCCACAGAACACATATAAAGTGAGATTTTTGCCAAAGGCAAAAGGTCAAGTCATTTTTGCACCCTTAAGAAGCAGACCTCACTTTCTGCATTAGAACGTGCCTTACTTTTCCTTTTCTGCCCCACCAACATCCACACAGAGTTCTCATTACATGGTATTTGGTATCTGCAGTGTGAAGCCTGACATTTTCCAGGAGGTTGCAGCACTCCCAAAAATGTGTTTTCCATGTTTAACTAGTGACAGATTTACTGTCTCTCCACCAAAACTTGTGTAAATTCTTTCCTCAAAGAAGAGCGTTTTTCATGGAAAAGAGTGTGCCTGGCTGGTGCATCTGACTAGCTATTGACATGAGGGGAGAGAGACAATATTTACACTAACCAGTGTGTGAAAGTAGACCAATGATGGCATGATAACTGTGCTTGTATTTATGGATTCAACAAGTTTGTAAATAATTCCAGACCCCCAAACTCTTGGAAGTCCAGATCAGTCTTGGTCAGCTCATTCTTCTTGTGCTCAGTATCCTTTGCCTCAAGTCAAAAGCCCCTGGCTATGGACAGACACCTTCTTCACAGTCAGATGTGCAGGTAGGTATTTTGGCAGAATTGCATTAGACAAGTCAGATCAGCAGCTCGGCCAGTAAAATCTTAGAGATGTAACTTGCAAAGGAGGGACAGAGCAAAACATTCTTCCAGCAACTGTGGACCAACATACCCAAAGTCAGGAGTGTAGTGGCTACTAGATAGCAATATTATATTAACATTTAAACTAGGAGCCTCATGTAGTGCCTGACCATGAATGAAAGTCACCTTGGGCCACTTACTTTACACCACATCTCAGATTTGATCTCCATATACTCTGCATATTATAATTATGTATCAAATATAGTTATGCATATATAAGTATGCATCAAATATATATTGGTTTCATTTATGTAGTCTCTAAGAGTACTATCCCCGTTGCACAGGCACCTATGCTGGTATAAAACTTTTCTTTACTGACTAAGTAAAATATATTCCTATGATATATTTATTTATGGATTTTAAAAAATTTATTTGTTTGTACTTACATAAATATTTCTAACTTAGGGATAAACTGTGCCACTCTCCATCTATACAAACTACTATGTGTCCATTATCACTGCAAGCTTTTCTACTTGTGTTTGGAAAATGCACCTGCTGAAGCAACCCAGTTCGTGATTGTGGTGGTTATAAAGGTTCAATATTCCTCCCAATAAAGGCTCCCCAGCCATTTTCAGACATACTGTGGAATAAAAGAAACATATCTCAATGCCACAGAAGCTTTTCTCCTGCAATCCATGTTTTCATCATCAGTGAACATCCTTTGGATCAAAGATTGCTGTTTGATCCCAGGAAAAGGTTAATGGTGTTGGCAGTGCTTAGGCAGTTGCTCCAAATGGCCTACCTAGGGGTGCACTACAAATCAGATCAGGCAACTGATCCCTTTTTTTTTTTTTTAATAAAAACATATTTAATTTTTTAGAGTGCCTTCTTTTTTCTTTCAACATTTTTTTAAGCTGCTTGCAGCTGCATCCTCCACCTCCTCAAGCTACAGCCTGAATTAGCATCCATTTAAATTAATAAGACAGATATCCCAAGTTTTATATTTCATGCTTACAGCCAAGCTGAGCAGATGTGATGCATGTTTACAAATGCAGAGACATTTTGGGAGTTGCCTGTTTGATGTCTGGACTTGTTTTGTACACACTCCTCATATTGCAGTGAGTTCTTGGAGGAGGATCCTTCCATGATGACTTTACTAAATTAAAAAAAAAAAATGAAGCCTCCTTCTGTTTTAGTTAAAGGGAACTTGGCTTAAAGCTTTTCTTTTTCCTTTTTTTTTTTTCCCAGTTGCAAGATATCTCTTTAGCCTATCTAACTGTGTCATCAGTAATTAGGCATGTAAAGGAAACCAATCTCAACAGGGATGTAAGATTTAAAACCTGCCAGTAAGCAGTAGATAACAACTCTTTTTAAGCACAAGCTCTTCAAAATTATGCTTATTAGTGGAATACAGTCTCTGAGTCAAACTCCCAGATAACCTAACAATAATTAATTTTGTTGAAAAGAATAAGCCTCAACTCTTGTGCTGACCATAGGAATACAAACCACTAAGATAAGGCCTGGACAGAGTTCCTCTAGGCTGGGAAGTAGGAACAGCAATGTAACAATTGTGAGGAGAGATAGCAATGTAAAAACAAAAATACCAACAAAACCCAAAAAAACCCTCCTAACAGAAATTTAGGTCTGGGAAATGCATGTCAGCCAGTGAGGAACTCTGTTCCCGTTAACCTGGAGATTCACAGTGTCCTGACCAGGTGCAAACCACAAGGACCACTTTGGGGGAATTTGTTTCCTCCAGTGGTGTTTTTCATCAAAAAGTTTTCTGTGATAGTTACTGGAGCTAAGATTACCCAAGCAGAGAGGAAAACAAGGAAAAGCATAGATATTTTGTGATCATACACGTATTTCTATATCTCTGTACACACACAATCACATGCAAACACAGAGAAGGTCAAATGTGGAACTGAAGAGAGTAGTCCTTTCTCTGGTTAAATGTCTGCATACATAACATCAGGTTCAAACACTGAGGTGATGTAAATTGGAAATGCTTTGTTAAAGTCCATAGGGTTAGGTCATTTGATGCTCATCCAAAATATCTTCTCTAAGTATGTAGGCAGGCCATGCCCTCTTAAATCTGAGCAGATCCACTGAGTCAGAGGTTGTTTACAAATAATCAGTTTTACTCTTTTTTTCCTTCCACCTGGAGCCTATTAATCCATAAAATTTGGGAAACAGTGAAAACCCACTGCAGTGTATTGTTAGATTTTGAAAAGTCCTGCATTCAACAGTCGGAGTTACTTGCAGGAGTTAGATTAACTAAATTGCTCTAGCAACACAGTTCTTGAGATGCAGTCAGCAAACCAAGAATACAAAAACAAAGAACCCACAAATCAAGCCCACAAGGACAGGCAGCTAGTTCCATTGCTTCTGACAGCAAGGTAGTATAAGCCCTGCTTTCATTTGGCCGTGTGTGTCCTTAGCGATTTTGAAACTGGGAAGGACCTATTAGATATGTTGAATTGGGGTGCTGCCAGTAGCTATTGCTTTCAAGACCTTTACACAGCAAGATGGGAAGAATGTGTCCATGAAATAGATACTGGAGCCTGTGTGTTTGTGCATGTGTGAGTGAACTTCAGAAGGAAAAAGCCCTGAATTAGTTAGATCTGTAAACTTAGCTCCCTTTGGGAGAACTCCTCCTCCAGAACCTTCTGCTTTTTCAGAAAACACACATTCTTATTATTCCAGCTCTGTCATATATTTTGTAATTCTGACATGAAGTGAGATCAGTGTCTACATTGGCATGAAGGACTCCTGCAATTACGGCACAAATGAGGAATAAAATATCAAGAACTGCTGCACAGATACACACACTGATGTAAAGGAATGTTTAACATGCTGCTTAACATTCATGAATAAGAGTGCAGGTGTACCCAGACACATCTCTATCTTTGCTTTTATAGTTTTCACTTAATGACTTTATTTAGTCAAAAATCTTCTATATCACAGAAAGAGGCTTTTGGAAGACACTTGGAAGTTGAAAGGACACCACAACACTTGCCTGTCTGTTTCCATCTTGCATCCATACCCTGTGATTTTAATTCCACTTCCAAGTTGGGCTGAAGTGGAAGATAAACCAGGTGCCACTCCAGAGCATCACTCTGATAGGGAGACAAAGACATGTGTGGATGGAGAGCAGCTCAGAGGACATAAAGCTGACCACTGGTCACACTGCATTGCTTGCTCCACCCCTTGACTCCGTGTCACTTCCAGACTTGCCTTGTAGCAGGCTCCATGAGCCCTTTTATCAGCCCTGACACCCAGGAATTGCCTGTCTTTGTGATTTTAGAGCTCCCTGCTCCCTCCACAGCTGGTAATGGAAGCAGCCAGGCATCTGGAACAATTGGCAAGTCCCTATTGCTTTCCCATGGAGTGGGGCGTGCCTTCCCATCCATTTGCTGTCCGGACCAGGAGTGCAGGAAGGGCCAGGGGTGCTACCCCAATGCAGCCATGGCAGCTGAGCTCAGCTGGGAGGCGCCTGCAGCTCCCAGGTTCAACCCCTCCACATCCAGCAACTGGAATTTCTCAGATGAATGCTCCTGCCCTGGAACTCACTCCCCTTGGCAGCTGCTCAGACCTTGAGTCTAATAACCTTCAGGGCACCATACAAACTTCATTAATTTTGTTTAACCTTTTGTTTAACTGAAGTACTTCTACAATTTTCTCTGGGATTGAGGCCTCCATGGCAAACAGGAGTGAGAAACAAACTTCTTAAGTTTTTCTGCTAAAGACAGCAGGGCAACAAAGTACCCCATGCTATCTAAACCATAAAAATAGTACTGAAATGTATACAAGAAAACAACCTAAAAACACTATCTGTAAAGAGTTGACTGCCACTGCTTGTCTCTTGGGCAAAGAAAACATTTCTGACACAGAGCAGGGCCAAGATAAAATGCAGAATTAATCTCTTTTCTTCTTTAATTTGTAAAAACACCTGCTATACTAAGGATGCAAGAAAAGTATTTCTTTCCTCTCTGAGCAATTGCTAGAGCTGCTGCAGAGCCATTTTGCAATTGTGAATACAAAAGCAGATAGTTCATCTGGCAGTCAAGCTATGATTATGATGAAAGTCTGAAGATTCTGGTGCTGGCATATGCATGATCCCCTGTGCTGCAGGTCACCCAGTCTCTCTTTTTTTTTTTTCCCATGTCACAATTTTGTTGTGAAGTTTCTGAGCCCCTTGCCTGTGGTTTCAGACTATCTCCTGCCTCAAGTGAAGGGACTGCCTCCGGGAAAGACAGCTTAGCTAAAGGCTCATGTCCTAGTTGCCAGTATGAAGTAGGGGAGGGGAGAAGTTTAAGGGATTTTAAAATGTTCCCTGTAATTTGACAGTTATTAATCATGTTCCAGCTCTCTTAGTGCCACCAGCTCCTTCATAACTTGGTTTGTACCTGCAGAACTCCAAGGGTTTCTATGGAGCTACATAAGGTGAAAAGAAAAATCCCTGAGTTGTTCCCAAAGCACTTCAAAATTAATTGGCTAGATTGTGGTGCTGAGGTTTGTTGAGGGTTTTCAAAAATCCTAACAATTCTGTGGCCCAAAGCAGGGCTGACTTTCAGAGTCAGTGTGGTTGGAGCACGTTGCATTTCCCCAAAAATACGAGAGAGAATCATTTCACACTTTGCCTGGATTTGCAGTAACACTGGAGGTACGTGAATCACAGCGATAAATGTTGCAATGCACAGTGGATTCTTGATTCAAAGTCTTCCCTTTATGAAGCTTTCCTATCTCTAAGAGAGTATGATGTACTCTTGGGTAGATCCCAGATGTGGAATCCCACTTCAGCACAAACCACACTGAGACTTTTGTGGCAGAGATGAGTCCTGCCTTCCTGGCCAGACAGTGCAAACACAGCTCAAACCCACTCACCTCCTTTGGGCTGGACCTTGTGAGACCTGGAAGAAGGAAGAAATGAGCACTACAACGTTTTGTGCCTCAGCCATAGAAAAGGGACAATCTGTATATGGCTAACACCTATTAACCCAACCATTAATGGTCCATACACTGGGCTTTCAGCTCTGCATATTTTCAGTTTGATCCCAGTAAGGCAAGGTAGCATCCATCACAGATGTGGCCTCAGTGTTTTGAGGGGAACCAGGCAAAACCTTGTGACTTCAGAATCAAGATCTGCATCCATATTTTGTAGTTACTGCCCAGCCCTGCTTTGCATTAACAGTTTTGGAAAATACCATTGCAAGAAGAAGGGAAAACCAAAAGTTTCCTACTCTGTGTGATGAAGATCCCAATTGGGAAATCACCTACCCTGCTACTCCTGCAAACAAGATGCCAGACATAAATATTTCACCTAGATGAAAGTAAATACAGATCCTTCTACTAAACCTGCAGCTCCAGACAAACAGAAAAAGCTTACATGAAGGTGTGAGACCAAAAATGGACTTCAGCAGCATGAATAGGCACAGTGCTGGGTAGCACAGGGAAGCAGAGGTGAAATCATTTAGCAAGAGTACCTGGTGGGAATTTGAGTGACTCACAGGAGCAGCAGCTTTCATTATTTCAAACCATTGAAAAACACCCTTGGTCCCCACACCAGGGTGTGGCTGCACATATTGAAGTTGTCTCAGGTATCAAGTGGTGGAGGCATCAGTGGGGCATCTGGGTACCCCTAGGACTCCTCCCTACCCCTTGATTCCCAGGCAGAGTGGCAGGATATGCACATGCTCTGGAGGGCTGCCCACATTCCTGATGTTTCAGGCAATCCATGTGGTGGGGGAAGGCAACCCCTTGCCTGTGATGCACCCCTGGAGGGATACACTGGCAATGGGACCAGCCTGTGTGTTGCTGTGAAAACTTTGATCTTCCACCTTCTGAAAAAAGTAAAATGGTGGGAAGGATAGAGAGGGGAGAGGAGGTCACAGAACATGTAACCACCCAGAGATATTGCCCACCACCTGGGAATCCCCCGAGCATGGGATAGAGCTTCCTTTGCCAGAAAGCTCAGCCAGCTGTTTTCCCAAAGGGCTCACTGGGGCTACATAACAAGGAGCATCTTTTATCCTCCTCTGTTTTTTATTAAGGAGTTAGCAAGCACTTTCTTAATTCATTTAGTGACATCTTTCCTTCATTTCCCAAAGCCAGCCATCCACTGAAATTACTGACCTTAGTAAACACCCAAAAAGAGTACCATTCTTTTCACAGAAAAGCTTGGCATTAGTTCCCAGTAGCAACTGCAGAATCCTTATGGAAGAAGCCAATTAAGCAATAAAGCACAATAAAGTACAGCCTATTACACTAACATAATAATTCACACCTACAGTATTGCTACTAGAATCACACCTGCAGTGTTGCATAAAGCCAAAAGGCATGAACTGTTAAAACAAGCTAGCCAGTTTTTTATTACGATATAATTTCTGCCTGGGGATACACTGCAGAAAAGATAAAATATTGGTATGTGCTCTTATCAGAGTGTGAATAAAAATCTGGGTTTTTAAGGGAAATGACCAAGTGGTTTAATAGTAAAATCCAATGGAGCCTGATTAATTTAAAACTATACAAGGCCAAATGCTGAAAATTAGCTAGTGGGGTGGGATTCTGCAGCAGAACAGGAAAGGAGTGGGTGAGGTGACACCATGGCATCTCGCATCTGGTCTGTGGCCTGCTATCATGGGGCAGGTATTTAGCTGACCTTAACTGAAGGACCTCACTGAATCCAACAGAACTGTTATGTACATAGAGCTAGCTGCTGGGCTGGAAGTAATTTGATAGAAAAAAAAATTAAGTGCTTAGTCTAAGTATCTAGTATGCTTTCCCTTTGAAACATCCCCCATTGATAACTATCATAATTACACTTCCTTGCTCTGGTTGGTTACAGAGGAATTAGACAGCCATCATCAATTCTTGCTCTGTGATGAGTTTGAGCTGTGTTAAAGGCATGGGACATGGCACTACTCAACCGTGTCAGCAGAAGGTCATCCCATCCTGAAGCACTCCCAAACAAGGAAAGAACTAAGAAGATACAGACAGGAGAGACCACCTCTCTTATGGCACTCCCCAGATAGTTCAGAGAACAAAAGAAAGGTGTTATTTTCTTATAGCATGAATGGAGCTGGATGTTCCCATTTCATTTGGTTATGACCCTAGTTGGACCAGTTCCAGGATATAAATGACAGAGTCGTGCTCTGGTACTTGGGAAGTACCTTTTCCATTTAGAATTGTGGCTGGCCAGAGAGCAGAGACAGCCTGCTCCTGCTCCAACACCTGGAAGGTTCTGGGGGCTCATGGGGGAGCTGAATGCTGGCATTCAGTCTTAGTGCACCTGTAAGAGTGCCTGAAGCTGCCCCTGGCATCACAGTCAAAATAAAGGCACTGCCCATTCCCACGCACTGGCTAAGAAACCTACTCCTTACTGTGGGCTCCTTTGACAGGCTGGGGCCCTGTGGGCTCCTTTGGCAAGCTGGGGCCCTGACTAACAAGCCCCACAACTTTTGTGTCTCCTCATCACCCTGATGGCCCGAGGCTGGTCACCTCAGCCCTACTATCACATCCTCCTCCTGCCTGGCCTCCCCAGCCTCTGCTTTCCTGTCTGCCTGACGAGCTGCCACAGAAACAACCTTCCCTTCCCACTGCTTGGACCTTGTCCCCGGGTGCCCCTGGGCAGGGATGGTCACACCAGATCTGCTGTATGGAGGCTGCAGCCACCTTCCCTGGTAACACTTTAACTCTAAGCAGCCAGGCGGGCAGGTGAAAGGTCAGGGTGGTCCCTGCATTGCCCCTGCTGACAGAGTCCACTTCCCTGCTGTGGCACACCAAGGTCCCACATACAGTCTGTGAGAATCCAGGGCTTCCCTCTGGCTGCCCTGGAGGGCCTGGGACCCTGGCAGGGGGTCAGAAATGCCCCTGTACAGAGCCCCAAGAGACACTGTCTCTGATCTCTGTCCATGGAAAAGAGTTTTCAATCTTACAGGATGAATTACAAGCTCTGAGTGTTTGATATGAGTAATAATTAAGTGTGACACGGGTGCAAAAGGAAAATTTTAGGATTCTAGATTAGAGGTTCAGAGGGGACAAGATGGAGGAAATTGGGTGTGTCTTGTCCTTTTTCTTCTTCTTCATGCCCTCCATGTTTCACTGTAGTGTTGGCATTTTTCTATTGGTTTAGGCTGGGAACACACTGTTCAACGTAGATGATAGATATTGGCACATTATTGTGAATATAGCACACGTAGTTTTTGGTATATAATGTTTGTAACATCCCACTGAGGGGCAGAGCCCCACACGCTGCCCTGCAGGACAGACCTGCGGCAGGGCAGCAGAACATGTTAGAGATAAGCAAGAATAAACAACCTTGGAAACAACACAGATGAATTATGGCTTCTTCTTTGGCAACGGGGCAGAAAGACAGAGACTTTTTACAATCTCGGAATCATCAATACCTCAGATTCTGACACAGTCAGCCTCCCCAGACTGGGTGTCCATCCTGCCCATGTCCTAGCCTGCATTCTGGATCCCCAAGAATACCTTGGGGACAACAGCTAGGCATGATGCTTGCCCACCACCAGATACAGACAACTGGACAACACTTGACTTCAAGCCATGTCCCTGTGCCCTAAGTGGCCCTCAGATCTCCAGACCATGGAGTCTTCACAAGTCCATGTGTGACAAAACTCCAGGCATTCTGTGAGGTGCTGAACATAGAACCTGGTGGAAACCCCATAAATTAAAGCCCACAGAACTATTCAGGATTACCATAATTAGTTAAACAAAACTTACCTTCTGTGATTTCCATGGAGACTTGTGGTCCCAGCCTCCACTGCTTCTCTTTGGAGCTGAGACGTTATCAGGGGCACTTGCCTCAAAACTGGGTTGAATTGCAACATTTTTCTGTGGCAGTGTTTGCTTTGGTCTGAGGATTTCTGTTGCAAAAGAAACAAACAAATAAACAAAAAACCCCAAAACACAACAAACAAGTAGATAATTTCTAGGAACAAATTAATGTGTTTAAGGACCAAGTTGGAAGAAGGGGGTGAGAGAAAAAAAAAAAATAGTGAGGGACTTTAGAAATGCCTGGAACATACCCAGAGCTTGTCCTAAAGTGAAACGGGGTGAAAAAGGGTCAGATATTTTTCTTTCAAATTTGTATTCTAACTGTTTAAGTGGCTCCTTGAAAACTTGTAACAGCCAAAAGTGTTTTTCACTGCTCTGAAGTAAAAGTAATCTGGTCTTCCTTTGGTTTTGTTATGAAACATCCCTTTACAAAGGTATATGCTGTGCTCTATTCAGCTCCCAAGCTGCACTACTGAACTACCACAAACACATACCATTAATTCTAAAACCTAGGGATACAGGGGAAGGGGAGTGACACTTTGTACACTTTTTTTTTTTTTAAAGAAGCCATTTCTAAAGATGTGGCAAGAGGGGGAAAAAAAAGTGCAGAAAGACACATTTTATATTAAAACCAGATGTGGAAAGTGGGGGAAAAAATTAGGTTTGTGCCAACCAGCATCAAGGAGAATTTTTTGTGTTTCAGCTTTGGAGCTGAATCTGTAGCACGCCGTGCCACATGCTATATCCATCAGTGTAATGACTGTGGCATCTTAGCAGCATAACGCTCCTGCCAGCAGAGAGAAGGGAGTTGGTAAACTAAAATCAGCCTCTTCTCTCTGTCTATTACGGTATAACCTTTTGGACAGTTAGCGAAAACTGGTTCAAACTGTGCTGCCATCCAAACTTCAGACTCATTGAAAAGCCTGCCTTGGCCCCAGGCCAAAGTCCAGTGTTTTATTACCAGTCTCATGTCTTTCTCTCCTTTGCCTTCCATTACCCACTTATTTTCTATAGCTTTTTATTTATATAAAAAAAAATAAAAAAGAAGAAGAAGAAAATAAGTATCCTTATAATACAACTATCTTAACAAATTCTGGTAAATGTCACAGACCTCGTTAATTGATTCCACATCCAAAACAGAAGACTTGGGCTATTTTTGTTGTTCAAAGCTGTACATTGGCCAACATCCTCTGCATATAATTAACCCCCTATTTCCATGGAATCTCTGCATTAACTTATTACAGACTCAGCTGGTAATGAACTCCCTGGAGAAGTCCACACACAAACATTGGCCATTGGGTTCATTGCCCACGTGGATTAAACAAAAATTAATCTCATCTATTTGGTTATTCATTTGGTGTCTTTAAATTGGAGGCATTTTTCTGCTTCGTTTGATGCACACAAAGAAAGAGGGATCTGGCTACTGAACTTTATCCAGAAACATCCATGTGTGGAGCAGATTAATGGGAACTTTTCATACCCATAATAGCTTTACAGCAACGAAGTAGAACACGCAGTTCTCCCCGGGTGACTATAATACTCTGGGAGACAGGGAAAACAAATGTGGCTAGAAGATAGTAATGTTTTGCTCATCAAGTGCTGTGTAGTTTAGACATCATTAAAGTGACGTGTTTAGAACTGAACCTGGGAGGAAACTCACATTTTGTTAATGTGGGGTTTTTAGTTTAGTTTAGTTTTGTTTTTTGTGCTGCACTCAAACTTTTGGACACTGAAATAAAAAGAAGGATGTGACAGACAGAGATGTCCCAAAACAGCTGCTGGTATCAAGTAACCACATGTAAAATGGTAAAAGGGAATTGACAGGCAGACTAGTAAGGAAAAGAAGTGGAAGCAGCAGGGATTACTGACTCTCCCTCTACCCACTTCTCACTGGAAATGGTGATTTCTAAATAAAGAAAGCAGAACAGATATTTTTATATCACTTATAACTTAACTGGTAGGAACCACCTAGTTGAAATCCCACAGAGCAATGTCCTTCTCCAGGCTTTGCACTGACCACAGCTCAGCCACCTTACTGCTGTGCTTTTCCCCATGGGATAAGACAGGGTAAGAATAGCAGTGTCCTCTGGAAAATGCTCTGAGAGCAACCAGAGAAGACCTTAAGTGGATAATTCTAAATAAACTCACTTCTCTCCTGCCTCCTCTCCACCTCTCAAATTCTTTCTCAAAAAGAGGGTGCTCCTGAGTTTTGGGGTTGCAGTCTTCAACACCAATCATCACTATACCATGTGGGGATCTCTGGTCCCTTGGGTTCACACGGACGTGTCCTGAAGAGGTGTCATCAGGACCAATGGTCTCATCTCCCTGTCATGGACACAAAAACTGCTTCTTGGCATTAACTGGCTTTGTCAGGTCAAAAGCATCAAGGTCATTCCATCTGTGCTAAGGAACTTCCTCAACCAGATCCTGACAAATTCATGCTCTAACTTTTGTGGACAGTACTAATCCCATTTCTTGCATGAGATCCAAATGTAGCAAACCTGCCTTTCCTGTAAATGCCCCTCCCTGCCTCACATGCGATTTTGGTTCTATTTAGAAAATACTTGTGACTTGGAAAGGTATTTATGCAAATTTTCAGTTGAGGGTGTGCCTTGTGCTGTGAAAACCCACAGTACTGCCTAAGTCACCTCCTTGTACAATATTCCTGCTGTTGTAGGACATTGTGGAAGACGAGCAGACCTGGCCACATGCTTCAGGGCCCTTGAGATTTCCCCTGGCCCAGACAAGTGCTCTTCGTGCAAGCCAGGGATGGAGCCCCTCCAAGACCAGCACCTCAGAAGTGGCCTGAGCAGACTGAAGGGCCATATGCAGCACAGCCCATTCCTCACAAGGGAGCTGCTAGCCAAGATCAATGCTGGACAAAACCTGTCTTTCTCTGCAATGCCATCATTTTCAGACCGGGCTTTTCAGGCTCACCTAGCACTTGCTCAGGTGATTAAATGTTGGGGTGGCAATTCCCTGCCTAACAGCACCCAAGCCAGTTGGATTACACTTCCCTGGTGTTTGTCTACATGCATCAAAGCCTTGCAGATGAGCAGGGGCAGATGGGCTTGGAGGAAGTTGAGCGTGGTGGCCCAACTCCTTCTTGGAGGCATCTCTCTACTCCCGCCCCCCACCTCTCCAGCCAGCATCCCCCCAGGCACAAGGCTGAGGCAGCAGCTAGCTGTTCCCTCCTACATCCCCAGCAGCTGCTGTCCCCCTGCCACCTCAACATCCCGTTGGTGTGGTGAGCTACATCAGTGGGAGAGCAGCCAGGGGTCACTGGTGTACAGCAAGAAGCAAAAATGGTCAGTGTGCCATCTCTGCAAACAGCCTGGAGCCCCACAGTGCAGGAAGCACAGATGGGTGAAGCCCCTCCGGGAGAAGGGGACTACCTGCCCTGCACCTCAGCCTTGCAGGAGGGAGTGGCGGGAGCCGTGTACCTTGTAATACCTGTTTCGGATGCACCTGAACAGAAAGCATTATAAATCGCTGAAGGGCCTGGGAAAAGAGAGAGCATTCACATCCATGGCCTTAAGTGCTCTTCACCTGAAAACCACCTGCTGAGATGTCGCCATGACTCTCATGGCAATGCCTCCAGGGTGGTGTGTCCCCGGGTGACATTGCCGTTCACCTCCTGCAGTTTGAAAGATGAGCAACAGGACTGTGACTGGGTGCCCCATGCCTTCTGTGTCGTTTTCAGACTGGACAGAGAGTGGATAGACTTTGTTCATCCAGCAAAGGTCTCCAGTCACTTCTGACAGGCTGCCACTACCTACTGGCCGACATCTGCCAAAAAAGGAGAGCAGAAAGCAAAGGGTGTACAGAAAATGGAAATGAGGCTTGAGGACAAATACCAAAGCCAGTGAGGATGTGGCTGAGACCCACCCACTTCTGCAAAGCAGCTTTGCGAGTTCTTTTGCCACCAGTATTTAACCAGTCAACCAGTTCATCTAGTCAGCTACGTCAGCAAGCACCTCTGCTCCAACCACACCACTCTTGTCCTCCAAGCAGTTGCCGTTCAGCACTGTTCAGGCACACCACTGCCAGCTGGAAACATACTGGCTCAGGTACTGAAGCCGTGCAAAAGGGCAGCAAGGCACAGGGGATCAGTTAGCTGCTGGAGGCTGACACAAGTTCTCCAACACAGCTGCCCAGCTCACCTTCTTCCAGGCACAGGGTGCCTTTTCCCAGGAACAGGGTGTCTGGCTAGATTACAGAAAGCAGAGCACAGCTAAGTCCAGGGCACAGGAAGAAGAGGAAGCAAAGCAGAAGTGTCACATACGCTCACTGCATCAAACCCAACATCTAAAAGACACTGCTGTCATTGACTGTACATAGATAATTTCTGCAGGCAAACGCATCAGTTGGACGTGTCCAGGCCCATGTTCGTTACCAGTTTGGAGATGAAGTTGGTGGGATTCCTGCAGTGCTGAATTACTTGGCTCATTGCTAGCACACATTCTCACATAAAAATTTTTGCACCAGAGTGCAAAAAGCATTGTGTAAGAATTGTGACTTTAAGATCAGGATTGCACCTAATCTAGCAGTCTTTATTTCACAGTTTCCATGAAAACAACAGTGTGATTGCCCTTTATTCAACATTTACTAATGCTTCTAAAATACTGGGAAGAATGTTGCTAATCATCCATTTCCTTACGCTTCACAAAGGAGCTGAAATAAACCCTTAAAAATTAAAAGACGTGCAACAGCCAGCAGAGGTCTGTAAGCTGCACCAGTTAAGTAACCAGCCAGCAGATTACAGCACAAAAACCTTTTCAAAGGGAACTTGATAGCAGAGCATCACTGAGAATTCCATGAATGAAGATAGCTGAGTTGCCTCTGAGGGACGATTCTGCTGAAAGTCGATGAGACCCTAGGGGAGAGATTTAGGGAATTCACTTCTCATTCAGCCTGAAGTATTCTCAAAGCAACTTGGATATCCACACCAATATCCAAAGCCTCCTGCTCAAGCACCCAAAATTCAGACCACCCACAACTTCCACACACATCTTCCCCAAGGAGAGTCGAGGCTTGCCTAGTGGATCCAGAGTTTCCAACTTTTCTGCTTCTCATATTTCCTGACTTCATGGAAACTACCCTCAATACAGGAGGGAGCTACCTGCCATATTAGCAGTGAAATGTAGCCTGGAGAGGAAGATGAGGAGAAAGCAACTCCTGCTCTTCAGCCAGCTCAAATCATCCTGCAAGCTTTGCAAGGCTCTGCAAGGAAGAGCAAGAACCTTGGGGAACCTGTGCTTCATGTGATTGCCAGGTGACATCTTCCCAGGAATCTGGTGAAGGGCCAGCTGATGGAAACAGTGACCAGGCAGCACACTGAAAACCCTGGGATTTCAAAGGCTTCCTTGAAGTTTAAAACTTGATGGCCTCCATCACGCACTTCCCAATCTGACTTCCCATGATCACCATACATTTTTTCTTTATTCTTTATGGTGCTCTGGATGAAAGATACCAATCCATCTGTAATCACAGAAAAAGAATATTATAAAAAGTCCCAATAAGTTGTTGGGACCCAGTAATTTCTGTGAATTGCATTAAGTTCAGGAAAGAAAAAACAGGAAATTGATCTACAGTAAAAGCAGACAATGCTGTGTCAGGAAAGAGTAGAACTTCCCTATTTATCAAGCTGGGAAATGTCTGCTGGGGTTTTAAAACCCAACCTTTATGTGTCAAAAATGTAAAACTCACAGCAGAGCCAGGCTTCCGAAAGTTTATCTACACAGTTGCAAGCTTTGTATAGACATGAGGAAGTTCTCCCAGCCCAACAAATACCATGATTTTTACAGTGAGTTATTCAGGCCAGCTCTGTGAATGTGTATTTAATTTTCAGTTTATTTTGGTTTAGACAAAAATTACTTCAAAATCAATTATTCTGGTTTCAAACCAAGTTGTCCACTTTGTAACAATTTTAAACTTTGCTCTCAGTTTGCTCTGCAATTTTCCCACAGAGCAGAGGAAAGGACAAGTTTTATTTCACACCTTTGTTTATTTGTGAACTCCTGTGTGGAGCTAGACTTGTTTTAGAATAAAAGTACTCATGTAGGGACTCAAGTAACAAGAGAGTTAGAGCCCATATAATTATTTCTGAACATTCTGTGTGTGTGCCAGCTTTGTATCACAACACTCATACTGTATGCCAGTTCTGACGTCATGACATAACTTGTTGTAATAGATTATTTGGGGATTAAAACCAAAACAAACAGGTATTATAAGGAAAAAATATTGCCACATGAGGGCATGCTTCATCTCTTTCAAAAGCTTGCCTTTTCAACTCAAATCTAAGGCAAGTTATATTTTAAGACCTAGTTTTAGAAAAAGGAAAACTCCGGTTTTATTTATGATTTGCTAGGTTTGTAACATACCAATTAAGTGCAAAATTAGCACAAACTTTGAAAAGAAACATTCTTTGCTTCCATCCGTGGTCACACTATTTTCCTGTGGTGACAGCAACATGCACTTTGGGCTTAGGGCAGAGGAGATGAGCTATCTCAATGCATAATACTCGTGTTCTGTACCACGTTGTGCAAAATAAGCACAGCACAAAATCCAAACACAAAGTTATGAAAGACATAAATTTCACCTTTTGCCCAATGGGAACAGCTTCCCGGCCGACCAGGCACGTCAAGGCAAAGGGAGGCACCTCGTACAGTTCTCTTGCAAAAGAAGGGCAGGGTTGCAGGGTTCCCCAGGGTTTCCCAGCTCTAACACACCACTGGATCTGTCTCCTCCCACAAAAGTCTGAGTCTGCAGCCCCTTGACCGTGAGATTGCTGCCAAACCTGCAGTAGACCTTCCTGGGGATACCTCAAGTCACATGGTCACCCCAACAAAGCGTTCCCTGCTAAATCCCTCTTTTAGGCAAAACTACCATCATCAAGCTTTCAGTGCCTACCAGGTCATTCGTGCCAGCAGCCCAGAAATTAATTAGGCCTGCAGACCATACTGCAGACAGGCAGCAGGAGGTTAATCTGTCCACCTAAACAGCTACGTCAGCGAAGGAATCCTCAAGGCCACAAACATTCTCTAGTCCTGAAAGGAGGATTTTGGACCCATGGTGGAGCACAGTGATTAATTAGAAAACCACAGCATCCAAGTGTTTGAGTCACTAGAATTAATTTTTCTTCTAGTGAGTCAGAGTATCTGCACATTCTTGCTTCCTGGAGACTTGAGTAGTCAAGCTTGCAGCATCTCACTCTGGTATCACGTCTGTGTCATGGAAATGATTTCAAAAACAGTAGGATTCTCCCAGCTAATTATATTCTCTAGTCAATATCCACTGATGCTCAACATGCTACAGGATCTGACTTGAGATGATTTGTTAAAATCAAATGGGAGGGTGTTTTCCCACATTCCAGAGGAGCAGGGTCACACACAAAGTTTCAGAGTCTGCCACTCACCTGACCTGGGCTCAGCCATTCCTGCCGGAGGAGCACCAGATCCTGGAGCCTTTATCCTTGGCTGATCCAGGGAATCAGGAAGTTGCAGAGCCTGTAGCTCTCACAGCACACGGCTGCACAATTTTAGAAGTCTGAGCTTGTGCTGACTAAGATGTTCACACTGACGATAAAAGCCAGCTCACAGGGGAAATCTTTCTTCGGTTTCTCCCTTTATCCAAGAGATGTAAATTCACTGTGTCTGTCTTTCACCACCGCACCCATGCTCCAAGATGACTTCATCTGGCCACAAAAAGACAGACGAAACACGAATGCTCCGATGCTTGTGAAGACAGGTGCAGTAAAAGCCTTAGGTGGAGCAGTAAATAAGTTGAGAGAAGGGCTTTTAATCCGATGATGTGGAAAATACTGAATTCCCACATATTTTTGTTGTTGCAAACGTCTTTCAATCATAAAATTGAAAGATGCCAGGCTTTATGTTCTCACTGTAAAATATCACATGAAAATGCACTGTGGTATTAGATGGGAGCATCACAGGTATTCTGTGCTAATGGTAACTACAGTTTTGCTCTTTCTTCTGTCATTGTACCAAAAGTAGTTTTGAATTTATGCCAGAGCACATAAATACCTGGGCATTTACATTTGCACTATGCCCCTGGAGGGGCAGACCTGAAAGAACAAGAACCCTGGTTGTTTAGGAAGGGATCAAGTTACTCCTTATCTCCCTTGCCAGGCCATGAACTGCTTTTTCATGCACCTCCTGGCTTCTCCACCAGCTTTTGCACCACAGCCTGAACCCACCCATCCTCCCAGGCCACCCCTGCTCCAGAGTCCCGCAGCTCCTGGTGGAGCTGTAGCCAGCCACCCCTGCCAGCTGGCTTCGACCGCTGCCCCTTCCTCAAGGACTTTGCACAGCCAGCTGGTCAGCAGGACCCAGAAGGGCTGCACTGCGATTTGCTAAAAGGTTGGAAAGAGAAACTGGATCCCCCAGAAATAAAAGCAAGGGCAGGGATATGATCAGGCTGTCCTCCTGAGTGCTTAGGGAGAAGATAGGCTTCCCACTCGCTTGCCTGGCCCCCGGTACACACAGCAGCAATGTTATCTGCACCTCTGAGCATCCCAGGCTTGCCTGGCATTGGGAGATAAAGGAATTCTATCATATCTTTAAAGAGGGACAGGCTGTGTGAGAGGTGACCTGTGGCCCCATCTCAGAACTGGCAGGAAAAGGTCAGCGAGTGTGTGGGAGCAGGAGTGAGGGACACCTGAGTCACACATGGTAAGAGCAGCCTGGCACAGGCACTCACCCAGCTGGGGCAGCGGGATGGCCCTCCCACAGCTTCCTCTGCTGAGCAGTGTTCTACGTGCAGGAATGAACTCCAGCACCCGAGGAACAGCCTTCCCATCAAGCAGGGAGGGAGCTGCAGAGAGCAGGGTGAAAGGGACTGTCAGTCTGAAAAGCACACAGGGCAGAGAAGTAAAAATTATGGAGCTGAGCCAAGTAAATAAAAAAAGAACAAAGTGAAAATAAATAGAGCGAAGTAAAGAAATAAAGGGGAAGGAGAAGTAGCCACTTTCTTACTGGCTCCTGCTTCAGCAGCACAGTCCTCTCCTAGCTCATGGAAGGACAAGAGTGGGTCTCACAGGGCTTTTACCCAGGAGGAACATCACCCAGCGGACAGATCCCACAGCAGGAGCCTTCTGTGGACAGCAGAGGAGCTGACCTCCACCCACAGTGGCCAAGGAGGCTGCTCCACTACCAGGTGGGTGACAAAGGGGCCTCCACTCTCCCTGTGCTCCTTGGCCCAGTCTCAGCCTGACCCATACCACCATTTCAGACATGGCTCTGGCTGGGAGTCAACAGGAAATCAACACCCCTGTCAAAGTCTGGAGCAGCTCAGAGGCCACAGCAAGCCCTCTGCAGAGCTAGCGCCACTACTGCTCCCAGGAAAACACACGAGGGGAAAACACTTCCTTTTTCAGTTCATGCCCTCCTGAATTAGGCAGGACAAGGACATTTGACATCACTTACCCATTCAGGTGGCCTGTGCACATCCCCGTGGGAGGACTGCTGCCCAGTACAAAATCTTCAGGGAACATAAGAGGGCATTGGAGATGTCCTCTTTTCTATGTCCACAGCATTGGCTGGCTCACCAGCTTCCCCAAAACACACTGATAGGACACATGCAGCAGGGGCAGGATGTAAAATCTCCAAGTCCTTAATTTCATCTGAGCTTTGGTGCTGTTTCTGACCAGCCACTGTTTCAGCAGGTGGAATTCTAGCCTGTGTGCCAGTATGTGCACTTGGAGGTCTCTCTGCCAAAACCTGCCCTTTCTTCACATCACTGCAAGCATGACCTGCCTGGGAGGGTTCCCTGAGTGCTGAGGACAAAGGAAAATAGCAATATTAAGCTTAAAAGGCAAAATCACAGCAGGATTCAGGCACCAAGCTTCCTTTTGTGCCACTGAAAATCCCATCCAAAGTCCCAGCAAAGGCAGGTTATACAAGTCAAACCTGCCCACACACAGGCACCGCTGTCCCTGGGACTTTTGCTCTACTCACAACAATAAATCTCTTTGTAAAGCACCAGCTTCCTGCTCCAGCTTGACCACTTGTTGCAGCATCAACAAGCCCCCCGCCAGCTTCAGTGCTGCTCCTTGCCACTCATCCCATCTCCTGACTGGAGCCAGCAGGGCAAAATCCTGTCCCCCAGAAAGCATCTCCCTCTGCTCCACCGACCATCCTCCTGCAGCAATCGTGGCACTGGTGGCTCTTGGGAAGCTGCCAGGCTCCACGTGGCCACAGCCAAGGTGCGAGCACGTTTTGCTTGCAAAAGGCTGCAGCAGAGAGGCGGCCAGCAGCTGGGCTGAGAAAGCTGCTGCTGCTTGCCAAGCCTACATGGTCGCCATAAAAGAAATATTGCCGGGCTTTTCATGGCGTAAGAGCTAAGCACGAGCTCCCACTTCAGCCCAGAGACAACTGCGCCTGCTTCTCTCTCTGCAGAGGAGAATTCCTCTTTGACCGCACAACAGGCATAAGGGAAACAGCACATGGCAGCAATCATGGGAGAGTGGCAAACAGCCATCCAAAGTGGTGGTCACAAAGCTGTCCAGCAGCTGCAGGGAGAGAGGAGGGGGGGAAATGAGCCAGAGGGGGATGGAGTGGAGGAGGAAGGGAAGAAGTTTTAAAGATAGGCAGATTAAGGGCAGCTCCTCAAATGAGTCAAAACTCACTGAGACGTGGTTACATCTCCCTGTTTAGCAGGAGGCATCCACAAATTAATAAAAAGGAATAAAACATGGACAACTAGGAAGTTGTAGTCAATCAAATTCATACATATTTAACAGGGACATTCATCTGAATAGAGGCCTGCCTATAGCATGCTAAAAACAAGTCACACTGCCTGGGAAGCTCACACAGAAAGCTTTGCTCCAGGCCAGCACGGGACAGACAGGCAGGGGATTGTTTGCTGTGCTCAGGGAAAAAGAAACCCTGATGTGAAGAGAGAAGATGAACATGCTGGTAAGGTGCAGGGGAAAGGTTATCTCCCGTGCTGGTGAGATGCAGGGAAAGGGCATGCTCTCTGGACCCTGACCCAGGAAGGACAGGATAGACCATGTTCTGTTTCACAGCTGAAACCCACCTCCTGGCACACGCTGCGGGGACAAGCGGGGCTGCTGCCTGTGGAGCTAGGGCAGCTGAGCTGCAGCCCAGGAGACAGCACAGCTGCTCAGGGGCAGCCACAGGAAAAAGCTTTAGCTCTTGTTTTCTGTTCCAGAGCTCTCGCTGTCAGTGCAAGGAGCACGGCTTTGACAAGAAGCCCCAGAAAGATTCTTGAAACATGTGCTGGGATCATGACTGATGCTAGAAGGATGAGGAATGGAGGGATCACATCTCATTTAGTCTCTCTAGCAATGGCCTGGATCTAGGCATGGACTTGGACTATAAACCTATTGCCACACATCCTGGTGGGTCCTTTCAGAACTGTATTAGTGGGAATTCAAACCTAAGAGACCCACACTGCATCGAACCACATTACTTACGCTGCACCTTTGCCCGGGCACTGGCTGAACCAATGCCCCTTGCACAGGGCTCTACAATGGCATGTCCTGTATCAGAGTTGCTCCATGGACAGCCCTCTGCAACCTTGGCATTTGATGTGGACCCATTAGGATAAAAATGGGAAACCCAAACTAGGTACCACTGGCTTGGGTTCCCCCTGCCTACTGTCCTCCACTGGCAACCATATGGAACACAAAAACAATTGTTACTAAGGTGAGGTCCCTTTCTGTCCAGCACAGCCTGTCACAGGAGTTCTGCAACCTGTGTCCTCGCTGACACCTGCTCAACCTCAGAAACCCTCCAGAGGTTTGCACAAGTATGGCTGGCTGAATGTTCCAGTGAGAACAAGGCACTCTCATCCCACAGGAATTGCTGCAGCCCTGCTCACATGGAGGCTTGTAGGTGGTGTTTGCAGAGCAGATTTCCCTCTCTCCTCAATGTGGAGGCTTTCCCTTGGGGCAGCAGCAATGGCATTGGTCCACCCTGTAATCTGTGGCAAAAAGGCATCAGCCAGACAAGGAGAGGCTCTTATCGAACAGATGGGAGGCAGGACATAGCTGAAGAAAAAACGGGGTGCGCACCTACAGCACATGACAGTAGTACGTGATATGTTCCAGAGATACGGGGAAATGACGGTTATGAAAGAGACAGGAGGGGAAGGGAATGAAAAAAAAAGCCTTTTGGCCCAAGTCCAGGGGGAAAGGTTCATTTCTGTCATCAGACTTAATGGTTCAGCCTGGGGAGAAATGCAAAAGGCACCAGGTCCTCCCTTCCCAGAGAGGGAGAGCAGGGTCAAACGCAGCACCACCTTTCCTCTCCCTGAGCACGCCACCTGCCTCAGCCTGACCCGAGGCAGGAGCTGTCCTGAGCTGCCATTGGAGCCAGGTTTCCAGAGAGCAGCAGTGGCCTGGTGATCCCTGCATCATGTAGGGAATCAGAAGTACTTTTGCCCCAGGCCATACAGTAAGCTCAGTAGGAACCAGTTTTCATCCATCAGATATATTACATGGATGCCACATATCCCATTTGGCAACTCCCTCATGGATTGCAAGTTTCTGGACAAAGGGACTCCAAACTCTGTGGATCTGGCACAGCACTCACTGGGCTTGAATTTAGACATACATTCTTGGCCAGCAGCCCTGAACTCTGGGAAGGAAGCATCCTTTTTCCCCCTCTCCTCCTTCCTTCCCACTCCTGCCCCCGGACGGAAGGCATACTGGATCACTCCTCTTTGTGAGTAAGGGAGTGCTCTTCTTCTGAAATAACACCCTCTGCATAGGCAGCTCTGCTGGTCCTGCTCTTCTCAATCCACCAGGAAAAGAAATCTCTGCTGGAGTACTATTCTGCTGGAATCAAAACACATCACAAAATCCAGCTGACTTGGTCAGGATTTTCCTTAAGAAGCAAATCAGGAAAACAAGGAGTTCCTGATAGAGTGCATTTAAACATTTTACAGCATGTTTAAATGCAGCGTAGATGCTTTTTTATTCCTATTTCAAAGCTATTTTAATTGTAATTTTGTTTCCTTGTATTGCATTAGGTAAGCTGCAAAATTCAAGCTAAAGCTTCCAGTTATTAAAAAAAAAAAAACAAAAAACAAAAACAAAAACCCTGAAGGTAAGAAAACTAAAGATTTTTAAATTTGCCAAATTAAATTTTGAACAGCAAAAGTCCTCAATAAAACCAATCCTAAATATCAATCTTCACCCTTTGTATGAATATTAAACATTATTTGAATATAGTTCTCAGTCTGTGAAATCCCCTGGTGTAGATAAGCCTTTAGTATCAGAGAGGATGATAAAACTGATGTACAGTGTAAGAAGCTGCTATTAAAATACTGTAACTCCAGTAGGGGGTTCTACAGCAAGTACAACATCTAAGTTTTTTGAAAACATATATATATTCTACAACCAATAAAATAGGCAGTAGGAGAGAAGCTATCTGTAGATCAGTATTTACAGGTTTAGGAATTATATAATCCTAAGTGACATTTCTCAGCATTCATCCTCCACACGACTTTTCAAAACAGGCAAACAACTTCAGCCTCCTGTTAACTGTTATTTTCATGTGCATGTATGCAGTCCCATTGGTCTCACAGGTGAAAATTAGAGCAGGATTTGGCCCATGATATCCATAGCCCAAAAGAGTGACTGCAAATTCTTAAAGGAACGGGGGAGGGGGAGGCAGGGGGAAGAGACAACAGCCCTAAAATAATTAGTGAGATTAGAGACAAAAGAAAAAAAATTATGTTGATAAAAGCAATGCTATATGTTAGCTTGACTCTAAATAAAACCTTAGATATTGGCTAGTAAGTTCTCTGTTGAAATCACTGAACTGAACACTAAAATAAAAGCCAGTTTGGAGGGGGCAGCAGCTTCAAACCTACAGAGAGCAGCTTTACATACCAACCCGAAGGCAGCAAGTAAAGATCACTGTGTTTAAGCAGAAATTGCAGGAAGTGTGTGGGTGGCAATAGCCATCCTCCACACTAGAGTTTAGTGGAGAACACTGTGACCGTTCCTGTGGCTGGTCCAGGAAAATATCCATGCTGTGGCAAGATACACTGCCAAGATGCATCCCTGCTTTCCAAGGGCTCAGCAGCTGGACTTGGGATGAGCCTCTTGGATTTGCCAGGGCCTGAAACAAAATTAGACGAGCCAGAAATGAAAGGTGAGATCTTGGACCAAGTACAATAGCTCTTGGATCCCATACAAAAGTCACAGAGATCAGATGTCACCCAGTGATTAGGGAAAGATGGGATAATATCAAAGAGAAGGTAGGCCAGCTATGTCAAGAGGAAGAAAACTCCTTCAATTATAGACTAGATTTACAAGTCAGAAGATGTCGCTTATGCTCTTGACGAATCTGAAAGCTTCCTGTGACATCTTAAGCAAACTAGTTTGGTCCTCAATCCAAGAGGATAATAATTTACACATTTCCAGTAACTGAAGTGCACAGACTGCTTGCAGCTCCAAGAGAGAAATGTGTTCTTACCTTAAAACCAGCAACAAAACCCTCCCATCATCCATCTGCTGAGCACAGTGGGAATGCTCTTGGTGAGGTATCACACACAGTCAGCTCCCACTGATGTAAAACATATTTTAGTGCTTGCTACTTAGTCCCAGCGCACCACTTACTATCCCTTATAACCATCTCTATCCCACCACATTCTTCATGAATGGGAACTATTCCTATCACTATACTAGAAATAGCCAAGAAAACAGGAAAAAAACCCAGAAGATTTGCCATCAGGTGCTATGGGAAGGGAGAAGGTGATGGTGATCAGCAGCTTTGGCAGCCGTGTAAAGAGTACCAAGCACGTCAGTTTAGACACCTCTCTGCTGAGAAAGTCAGAACCACAGGGATTAATATTTAGAGAAGGCTTTCCAACACTCTGTTGGCTCTTATCTAAACCCAGCATTGTACATGCTATTCATCATCACAGGCCACGACAGAAATTATATCAGCATCAACAGCAACCAGAGTAGCAGAATATTCTTCAAGGAAAAAACCCAACCAAGAAAACCACCAGTGTTTACCATTAATAATGTCAGTTGTTCAACAGTTTCTTCCAGTTAGGGTTATTTGGCTTTCAGCTAGTAAAAGTACTTTGGGAATATTGGCTGGAAGGAGGGCACCATCCAGATGTATTTGACAGGAGTAAAAACCTATGTAAGCCCTACGTTTCTTGTCTAAAAGTCACCAACCCAGAATAGCTTATGATCTAGTTATTTTTATTCAGAGAAGAGCCTGTGCCTTGAGTTTGGATCAGAGTCCAAATTCCGCTAGAGTTTCAGGCTGTTGTTAAGGTAGGATGCTCCA